TTCCATTGGAAATACTATCATGTGTGCTTAACATTCCCGGTTTTCCTGGAGATCTGTGGCCACAAGGACCATCATGCTCCCAACAAGTAGTTGTATTCTTTGCAATATTTAAGTAAATTGCCTATCTGAAAAGATTTTCTCCAACTAACCAAGAAAAGCATGTATCCAAAGAACCCCTGTTATAATTATCCTAGTTGTATGTAGCTGGGGATGAGGAATAGATGACTCTAAATATACATCCCATGCCCATTTCAAGACAGTGTCTTCTAGACATGCCAGGGAAATATTCATCCATAAAATCTCAACCCTAGATGAAGAATTACAGGCAATCTGTGGCTCCTCCGAGGAAAATCAGTGTCCCCTAGGGATTATGCTCCTGCTGGATTACCCACCTAAGTGTAGTCAGACCTAAACACAGTACTTAGGAGCAACATTAAATGGACTCAGTAGGTTACATACGCATATATGTAGCAATATATATGTTACATATGATGTAAAAAAGGAGGCTATGATTTTTGAATTTGAGGGAGTGGAAAGGGGACGGACATAGGAGGACTTGGAGTGGGAAGAGGGAGGGTGGAAAGGATGTAAATATATGACTCATATATGAAATTCTCCAAAAAAATAAAAAATGTAAATTTAAACAAAAAGAAAACATGGACAAAAATACTAAAACGTAAAGAAGTTTATGACTATATAGTGAAGGGTATGCCCTGAAAATGAATAAATGATTATACTGGCAAGAAAAAAAATCTCTCCAAGGACTGGTAAGATGGCACAGAAGGATAAAATCTTATCACTAAATCTGAAGACCTGAGTTTGATCCTGGAAACCCACATGGTAGAGAGAGAGAACAGACTCCTACAAGCTGTCCTCTGACTTCTACATGCACACCATGCATGTGCACCTACACACACAAATAACTAAGTAAATAAATAATGATAGATAGATAGATAGATAGATAGATAGATAGATAGATAGATAGATAGATAATCCATATTTCCTATGCTATATAAAACAGGCTTGGTGTCCTAGAAACAATTCCCATTCAAAAGACCACAATGGTGGGGATGAATATTATCACAGTACAGTGATATTCAAAAATACCATAATGAAACTTACTATTTTATACACTGAATAAAAATAATAATATAAAAAGAAAAGGAGACCATGACAGAAAACAAAAGATGTGGACTCTTTCTTACACATTAACACTGTATAAGCTAGCTGGAGTCAACCACACAGAGATATAGAGTATAGCTAAGAAAGCTTACAGTAGAGAAGAAAGCATGGAGCAACAGAGATTTGACCAGCCTTGGGCATATACACAAGGAATGCTCAATCTTACCACAAGGACACATGTTCAACCATGTTCATGGACTAAAATCAAAATGATAAAAGGCTGTGTTCAGCATCTGGACAGTTTGCATTCCAACATTCCCAATGCCTTCCATACTCAAGGTTGGCTATTATATCACTCTAGCCTAGCAGAGAAAACTCAAACCCAAGGTTCAGGAAAACATCCCTGTTTCAAAGGAACAAGATGGAAAGTAATGGAGAATGATACCTGATACCCTCTCCTGGCCTCTGTGTACACACATACATACACACACACACACACACACACACACACACACACACACACACCTACATACATACAGACTACATACCTACATATGTGTAATACTCACACATATATGCATAAATTAATTAAATATTTTAAAAATAAAAAGTGTTCTATGAGAAAGCTACAGGTAGCAGAGTCCACTTTTATCCCTGGGCAGGAGAAACAAAATTAAACAAAACTATTTTCATGAAATTGAAATCCACTCCTTATCTAAAAATCAAACAACTTAAAGGAATCTTGACTGGAACCCAGGTCCAGGTTGACTCTATTGTGTATAGTCAGCATATCTACCTGAAGGTAGATTTCCACCAAAGAGCCAAAAAAAAAGGGTTTCCTGCACAATGAAATGAGCTAGTACCTATCAACCTAAACCTTCATGAAATCATTGCAGATAAGCATCAGGAGGCTATTGGCCTAGGGGGAGTCCTGTCTATATTCACATATTAGCCAAATTTCCTACTCAGGAGTTTGTTTTTGCTTTTGTTTTTTCAGAAATGATCAGCTGATAGCTAAAGCTTTTCATTAACTAACTCTTACACTTAAATTAATCCAAAATTCTTAATATTTAGCCACGTGGCTTGAAACCTTTTCTCAGTATGGCATTCTCATCTTGCTTTTCTGTGTTTGTTGGTAACTCCCTTACTCTGCCCTTCCTCTTCCCAGAATTCTCCTAGTCTGGTTCTACTGCTCAATCTTATCCTGCCCAGCCATCAGCCAATCAGCTTTTTATTAACAATGAGCATAATCCACAGCAGTCACATTTGGTTGTTACCTCTTAGAAGACCATTCTTTTCTAATGACAGGCAGAAAGAGTGCATCCAAAAGGGGGGGCAGAACTGGGTTAAATAGAAGGAGGGGAAACTGTCATCAGAATATATTGTATGAGAACAGAGTCTACTTTCAATCAAAGGAAACAAATGAAAAAAATACATTTTATTTTTTATGTATAAATGTTTTCTCGAATAGATGTATGTGCACCACATGCATGCCTGGTACCGTGAGTGGTCAGAAGAGGCCATTGGATCCGCTGGAACAAGAACCACAGATGTTCGTGAGCCATATGTAGGTGCTATACTGACCCTGGGTCCTCTGTAAGAGGAATAAGCACTCTTAATCACTCAGTCGTCTCTCCAAGGCTGATAATAATAACCACTGGGTAATATTTAGAGAGAGCTGAAAAATAAAGCCTAATACATTTAAATACATACCAATTGGACAGATATCTTGTTCTTTTAAGGCAGTACTTGTAAAACTTACCAAGAAATGAGCAATAGTTTGAGAGAATTTCATTTTAATTCAATGCATTGAACTTTTACCTTAAAAAGATAAGATCACGTTCAGGCTGTTCATGTAGATCTCATTCCATTTCTCTGTCATTGGGCGATCCCCGTGTCTTTCTTGGGGTCCTGTTTTTCAGGTAGCCTCCCTGGTGATGTGAGTAGCAGTCCAGTCATCCTTGTTCCACATCTAGTATCCTGCTATGAGTGAGTACATACCATGTTTGTCTTTCTGAGTCTGGGTTACCTCACTCAGGATGATTTTTTCTAGATCCATCCATTTGTCTGCAAACCTCATGATGTCATTGTTTTTCTCTGCTGAGTAGTATTCCATTGTGTATATGTACCGTGGGGGTAGTGAAAGGCAAGGGTCGAGGGAAAGAGAGCTTGGGGGAGCAGGAGATCCCAGCTGGATCAACAACAGAGAGGGAGAACAAGGAATAGGAGACCATGGTAAATGAAGACCACATGAGAATAGGAAGAAGCAAAGTGCTAGAGAGGCCCACAGAAATCCACAAAGATACCCACACAACAGATTGCTGGCAATGGTCGAGAGACAGCCCGAACTGACCTACTCTGGTGATGGGATGGCCAAACACCCTAATTGTTGTGCTAGAAACCTCATCCAACTACTGAGGGATCTGGATGCAGAGATCCATGACTAGGCCCCGGGTGGATCTCTGCGAGTCCAATTAGCGAGAATGAGGAGGGTTTATATGAGCGAGAATTGTTGAGACCAAGGTTGGATAAAGCACAGGGACAAATAGCCAAATGAATGGAAACACATGAACTATGAACCAATGGCTGAGGGGTCCCCACTGGATCAGGCCCTCTGAATGGGTGAGACAGTTGATTGGCTTGATCTGTTTGGGAGGCATCCAGGCAGTGGGACCGGGTCCTGTGCTCATTGCATGAGGTGGCTGTTTGAAACCTGGGGCCTATGCAGGATCGCTTGGCTCGGCCTGGGAGGAGGGGACTGGACCTGCCTGGACTGAGTCTACCAGGTTGAACTCAGTCTGTGGGGAAGGCTTTGCCCTGGAGGAGATGGGAATGGGGGGGTTGGGGGGAAGGTGAGGGGGACGGGAGGGGGTAGAACAAGGGAATCCGTGGCTGATATGTAGAACTGAATTGTATTGCAAAATAAAAAAATATAAAAAAAAGATAAGATCACATATCAACATCTCACCTATCACATTCCATTCATAACTTACTCAGACCTTTATAACTTGGTAAGGTTTACACACTTTCTTTCTGATGCTGGGAAAACATCCAGCCATATTAACCTTTACATACATTTTTTGATAAAAAAAATATTTTCATTCTCACACCTTATCAACAATATCTTTTTTCCTATGTCCTGTTTCCTTTCTGTTTTATTTCCTTTCATCATATGATGAAACAGAGCAAAACAGTGAATTAAGTTAAAAAGAAAGTCAGCTCCAAACTACATGTCTAGCACTATAGAAATAATTTAATATCTCTAGTATATATAGTGTTAAATTATGCAGCTTTGTATATTTCCATGCAGACACCATATAAAACAGGTCACTCAACAATAGTTTCTGCATTGTAAAGTCTAGGAAATGTTCTCATATAGGCATGCTTGTTTTCTTCATTGAGCATAAACAGCAGATGGATCAAAGCAAAATATCAATCAACTGAAGTTTACATCATCCAACAGCAAAATAGGAAAAGCCCTGATAAAATGTCATCTCAAGGCAATGGCTCAGGAGTTTTAGACAGATGTTCCCCTTGATCCGGTAGGTGGAAGAGCAGCCCAACAACTGTTTCTATTGTAGATGTCATTATAACTAGAGACAAACAAAAGCCCCATCTCCTTGAAATAGTTTTCCTCTCAGCTGTTATGAAGGGCACAATGCCTTTACCCTTGGTCCCTTTTGCTGTTCACTTTGGTGCTTGTTACAGAGCCAGAGACCATCCTGACTCAGGGTAGGGATTGTAGAGGACTGTTGAAACCAAAGCGGTTGTGCCTCAACCACTGACTCAGAAATTTGTCAAGAGATACTCATTATTTTTGCTGCATTACCCAACCCTTGGGATCTTACATCATTTTGTTGCTTAGAAGTCACCTTTACATAACATGGAGGGCCTATATGGTAAGTAAACTGAGATGGGTAAATGGGAATGAGATACATCAAGGTAGGAGGAGTCAGCATTGGAATAATCACCATACTCACATCATACTCAAGCAAAGTGGCTGGGTCTGGAGCAGACTGTTCTACAAAAATAAGTGAAACAAGAGAAGGTAGAGGCACACCTCATTAGCAAATACTGGTGTTCGTGGAAAGGGAGACGTGGACAGCACAAGACAGCGTGGCATGGCTTGGATTACCTTCTACCTTCTAAATGTTCTCTGGGCTGTGGCAGGAACCAGCACCCAAAACTCTTGCTGTGAGTATGGTGATTATTCCAATGGCAAAGAAGCAGTCTCCCTCCAGAGAGGCAGAGATCTCAGGCACAGTTCTACTGTTGAGAGAGGGGTGGAACAGCAATCACTATAGGAGTTCTGAAGAGGTAGGCATAAGTCAAGGATGGAGACATAGTCATCTTTCATGACTTCACAGAATAATTCTTGGAGAGTCAAGTCCATACACTTTTTATGGAGAGAGCATGAATTATGATTGCAGAAATGCTGGCTGCTGTAACAAGATAGATACTTAGTGGTAACTAAGACTACATGGGAGGCATGAATATCTGATAAGCAGATTATGCCTCAAATCATCAATATTTTTCATGAAAGAGTAGAGGGAACTAAATGCCAAAGAAAACAGTGACTAATAGGATAGTTAGAAATCATGTTAAATACTTCTGAGATGTACTGCTCAAAGTTAGCACATGAAAAAAATCACTTTAAAGATAGAGACTGTTGGAGAAGATGTAAGGACTAATGAGCCTCTAAAGAAAAATGCTGATATTTTCTGCATTTCTCTTCTGTCTCCTCAAATCTCTCAAGCCTTCTGCTAAAAGGCCTAGAAGACACAGGAAGGACACTTCTGGGAAAGGGATGAGGGATGGGGGCAATGAGGGATGAGTGGTGGGGTGTTGCAAGTGGCTTTCCTTTTCTCAGCTGTCCCCGCAGAACAGCAGCCCTGGGTCAATGGCCTACAAGTGCTCATGGAGAAGTCGGTGACAAAGTCAGACTTCACAAATCCCAGCATCCTGATTGCCATGAACCTGGCCGGTGCCTACAATCTGGAGGCCCAGAAGCTCCTGACTGACAGGCTCATGGCCACTGACAGTGCAGGTTAGACACTGGAGCCCCTCCCCGAAGCCTGAATCACACATACAGGCCACCCCGGACCCCAGGTCTCTGTCATCGCCCACCCCAATTCACTCACCTTTCCCTACACAGCAGAAGAACATCTGTAGCTAAACATATGTGACATCGGAAGAGTCAGGGAAGGGGGGAGGGATGCACAGGGAGCTCCAGACTCAGGGAAGAAAGCAGGCACTTCTGCTTCCAAATTTGCTGCTTATGAACAGTCACTGGATACCACTTACTCACCTTGCTCTCTAAGGACACAAACAATAACAATAGTGGCAGTAACAACAAAGTCTAGGGTCAATTCACTTCATATGAATTGCCTTGAGCTTCAAGATGCATGACAAGTTTACTTTCTGCATTTAAGTCTCCACTGACTTTCACGGGTTTTCTCCTTTCTTTTCTAAACAGACAGCATGGATTCTTTTCTTAGCATATATTAAACATAAGAAATAATTAGTTTCATTGTACAGTCATTGATTCACACAGACAACACTACATTCAATGTTTCTTCAAATACTTATTTCCACATTTCTTTCTTTAGAAAAAAAGAGATTTTAAAATGATATGAGTGCACTACTGAAAAATCCAAATCCTAGATTTGAGGCTCTGGATATAAGGCTGGTAGATGCTGTGTATGACATACACCTGTAAGCCCAGCACTCAGCAAGAGTGAGTTCAGGGCCAGCCAGGGATACAGAGTGTCTCAAACATTAAAGGGAGGTAGTAAGCAGCCACTTAGAGATGGGTTAGTCAGGGGGCTCCATGGGTAAAGGTGGTTGTTACATAGGCTTCCCCATCTGAGCTTGATCCCCAGAATCAATATAACATTAGAAGGAATAACTGCCTTCACAAAGATGTCTTTTGACCTCCACATCTGTGTTGTGGCTTGCACACACACACACGCACACACACAGTAATAACAATAACAATAAATACGAAGTTTACATTTTAAAAAACAAGTACAACACTCAGTCTAGCCCTTGGTAACACTTTGCCCTGTACTGCCTGCCATCATAATTCTGTTCTCTTTTCCATAGACCTGACAAGCGGGCAGCTCGCTCTCACCACTATGGCGCTCACCTCCTCATGCCGAGACCCTGGAAATAAAGTATCCATTCTGCAAAAGAAAATGGAGAACTGGGTACCTCCAAGTAAGACCTCATGGGGAGGGAGGGAAGAGTGGGGTGCCACATCCTACTGACAATTTTTAACCTGGAAAGGAAAATTATGGAAGTGAGAAGAGCAAAAATCAGAAAGAGACACAAGGCCACCTCTGCTCTGACAATGCCACCAGTGAGACACTCAGTTCTCAGCCAAAATGAGCTAGAGAAGCCAACTCCCCAGGCATGGACTGGGCAGCCACCATCCTCCCAGGGTCAGCAACATCCCTCTTGTCTTCAGATGCCAGATGACATTCTAATTCTGAGAAACACTGATGTCATCCTTTGCCAATACTGTCTCTTTTTGTGGTGACAGGTTTTCTAGTGATTTCTATTTAAAAGCTCCAGCCTATGCTACTCAAAACGTCTCCAGTGTGGTGAGTGTTAATCTAAGGATGGTTCTCTATTGTCTTCTGAGGCCCCGGTGCTGAAGCCTCAGCCTTCTATGGGCCCAGTCTGGCGATCCTCGCACTGTGCCAGAAGAACTCAGAGGCAACCTTACCCATCGCAGTGCGCTTTGCTAAGACCCTGATGAGGGAGTCTTCTCCCTTCAATGTGGGTAAGTTGATGCCATCAGACACTGACCGAGGTGAGAGTATCAGAGTCACAGTAGATGAGAGGTAGTGGTGGAGGGGGAAGCAAAGGAGAAAAACCTTCCATGGAGGTAGAGCTGGGAGCCATGCAGGTGGGGGTGGATGAAAAACATTGAACAAATGTTTGTTGGACTTGTGAGTTAAGGACAGACCTCCACTGGGACAATAAACATGTCACACAAGTTACAAGTAATTTTCAAATAAAATGGAGATAGATGTCTTACATCACCCCTACCCTGCACTCCTTAATGTATACTAATTCTCCCATATTCTGTATATTTCAAGATGTTTCTCATTTTTCCATCCAAATGTCCTTTCTACAAACAGCTATTTTCTGAAGCCAACACAAGGACCTTCTTCTCCCTTTGTGTTACCCACATTGGGCTGCTTATGAATGGAATCCTTTTCTACTGTGATGCTATTTCCTTCTTAAACTTTCTGTGTGTAATGATCTTTCCTCTGTTGGGGCCCCTGGCATGGACTCCCTGTCATGACCCTCTGCCTCTCTCTAAGCAATATCATCTCAGGCTTTCACTCACTTCCACAGGCCTCAACAGTAAGTTTTTTCTTTTTACTATCAAGACAAGCAGGCAGATACAGTCTAGGGCCCTTCCCAGGGATCAAGAATAGGCTGGTATCCCTCTCCATCTGGAACCTCACACATGGTTGGGACATCTCTGGCAGTTCAGTAAGTGAGGTGGACCTCTTTGTCTTCAGATGTCCATAACACTGTCATTATTAATGGAGCTATGAGACTTTCAAATGAGGCGACAAGGGCAGTGAGATACAGTTGCCATCTGGATGGCATTTTACTTGTTCTGGTCTTGTCAGAACTTGCTCATTTGGCCCACACATGTTTACCACATGCAAATAATGAAAAGTCTCTCTGTGCTGGGTGCTATGGTGAATGTAAAGTTCCCACTGCCCAAGCATTCACAGAACCCAGGACCACACACATGACACAGAATGCTGACAGAGTAAAACAGTCATAGACCACAAATGCTGAAGAGACTCAGGCTGCTGTGCTGGGAAGACCAAGATGCCTTCACTGAGGTGTGACAGCTGGGCCTTCCAGAATGCTGACATCTCAAAAGATCAACCTTGACATGAGAGAAATGGGATTGAACACACTGCCATTTACACTATTTAAAGTTTCAAAGTCTGCAGCTGTCCAGTGGTATATATTTATTTTAGAGCCTGGCCCTGCTGCTTCCTGGCTGTTTGGCCTTGGGCAGTTCCTTTACTGCTCTGAACTCCCACTTCCTCGTCTCTTAAATGAAGATACTCATAGGTTCTGTTCCACCAGTGATCCCAAGAACTAAAAGAGGTCCTGTCACTAGATCACAATAAGCCCCTGATGAACATTGGCTGTGGTGGTGATTGTGGTGAGGGTCTGCCTCCCCTCTGCCTTCCAGACACAGGAGCAGTAGCAACCTTGGCCCTGACCTGCATGTACAACAGGATTCCTGTAGGTTCTCAGGAAAATTACAGAGACCTGTTTGGTGAGGCACTGAAGGTTCTTGTGGATAATATCAGCTTGAGGATCAAAGCTGATGGCATCATCGGAAACATCTACAGCACCGGCCTTGCCATGCAGGTAAACCTATCCTATATGCTCCTAATCTGGGCCAGAATAACAACCCTGAACTCTAGCACCAAGGGACTTTGTGTCTACTAACATACCTGGGAAAGTCCAACTAATGTAATTTGGGGTCCATTCCTGAACTACTTTGTCTCAGTTTCTCCACTAGCAAAATGCAGATATATGCTAGCTCATAGATAAAATGTAAAGACAAACTTAAAAGAATTCATTCTCCTTTCTTGGAAAAAAATGAAACAAATAAATCAAGAATTTTGAGAGTTTATTATCAATAATAACCAGTTTACTAGTAACAGTCATACACTATTGAAAGTTTGATGCATACATACTAATATGAAGGCGGATCTTCTGCTTCAAACTTACCAGGAGTTTCTTCTTTCCCTCTTATCTTTAGCCACAAAGAAAATTGGTTTGGCCGGGCGGTGGTGGCGCACGCCTTTAATCCCAGCACTCGGGAGGCAGAGCCAGGCGGATCTCTGTGAGTTCGAGGCCAGCCTGGTCTCCAAAGCGAGTTCCAGGAAAGGCGTAAAGCTACACAGAGAAACCCTGTCTCGAAAAACCAAAAAGAAAAAAAAAAGAAAAAAAAGAAAATTGGTTTGTATTTAAAATGATTAATGTAAGTAATCTAAAGATGACTCGAACACACACACACATACACACACACACACACACACACACATACATACATACATACATATAACCAAGTAAATAGTAGAGCCAAGTCTGAGAATCTGAGTCTGTAGTCCATTCTATGCCTTCCTCACATATCTCCAGGCTTAAATTAGGAAAGATGCTCCTTGACAGCCCCAAATCCATCACCATCTTCCAGCTGCTGTTCACTAGAGCAGGAGTCATCCATGGAGAGCAGATGTATCCATAGAGCAGATTTATCCATAATGGTGGGGAGATATTAACAACCAGAACAAGAAATTTTAGTCACAATTGGTCAAATCCTCTAGCCCATACTGAAATATTAATGGTCTAAATACCTTAGGAAATTAAGAGAAAAAAATGCACCATGAACTCTCAGCCTCAAAAACACCAGGAAAGGGAGAGGGCTGGAATTATGATGTCAGCCTTAACCTTTGTGTAGCTCTTGGTTACTATTAGAAGAAAATGGTCTCCTAGTGAGGGAGAGTGGCGTTGGTTCCCTCCACACACTAAAAATAAGGGAAGAGTCCAAACAGCACACGTAATAGTCAGTGTCAAAAATAAGAATGAAGACAAATCACCAGCCCAAAATACCATATGTGGAAGTGACTAGGAGCAAAGTCAGCATTTATTGTCATGGTCACTGGAATTTTGTCACGAAACAAAACATTTTTCCCACAGCTGACCCATACAAAAGCATCCCCAGAACTCATGTCTAGAAATTCCTGTGGAAAGCAGGCAGCCTGAAAGAATGAGGTTAAGACTGGGTTTGGCAGGCCGGGTCACGTGCTTAACCCTGTCTAACGAGTTTGATTGCTTTAGTGCCAGATGCAGAACTGTTTACTTTGCTGATTTGGCTTAGAACTTCTATTTGGGATTTCATCACTTTCTAGGTACACTCTGGTAGATTATATCTGAGAATAAAAGCTTTTCCTATCAAAGGGTAAGACCTCATCCACATCCAGATACCACTTACCATGTAGATTTCTTGTCACTTAAGAAACATAACTCCTCCCTACCTGCCTGCTGAGGACTAACTACCTGGTGCCTCTTAGACCAAACTGCCTTCTAAAGTGGCCTCAACGGGAGTTATGGTCTTCATTTGCCAAAGTTAATGGTGTGACCATACCTGTCACAAATGTCCAGGTACCACAACTGCTCTCCCTAGCTGAAACAACTATCTTTGACTCCCCTCCACCTTCTCCCATTTTCTCTTCCAGCTTCATGCAAATGTGTCATTAGCCAACAAAGCTCACTACCATACTTGGTGGCTCTAGTTAGCGTAACTGTAAAGGAAGGGAGGATGCAATGAGTTTCCACATCATGCCTTGCAAAATGCTTTTCCACACTTGCACACTGGACTCTCAAATGATACCCCCTCCAAAGACAAGCAGGATTTATACTTTCTAATTTGCCCCAAAGAAAGAAAACTAGACAAGCATAAGTGCATCACTTGGTATAGTAATCCAAATTCATTTTTCAACTTCCAAAATCTCGATTTTAAAAATACCAACTTAATATTTCACATTCCTGGCTGTGTCCAAGGCTAAATGAAGTGGTTTCAAGAAAAACCATAATAAAAAGATCAAATGATGACATCAAGGACCACTTTTAGTTGTCTGCCATCCTTGGTTTCATTCATTCTCTCCTGTTGTGTGGAATTTAAGATGGTCAATGACAGCTTGGTGCTTACTCATAAAGTCCCAACTGAAATATAGAAGCAAAAGAAATGTTTTTCTCTTTCAGTATTAGTGCACAGGGAAGGGCTGATTGGTTGGTGTAGGAATCTACCAGTCACTGTTCCCATGGACTCCAGTGCAAAGCTGAAAAAGATTCCATCCCAAGGCCAGGGTTGTGGAAACTGACTGACAGTCCTGATGTAGACATGGGCTTTGGGAGAAGTCCACCAAAAGGTGTGCTTGACAACACAAATCAAAAACAGTCTACTGCATGTGCCAGTCCAGCTGCCCTAGACTACAGCTCCTTCTGTGGTTTGCTTTGTTACTCTTTCTCCATATTTTAAAACTATTCACATATACAGCAGTCTTGGCTGTATTTCCTGACTCCAGTCATTGACTAAATAATTGTTCAGTGGCTATTTTTTAAAATCATTTGTCAGTGTTTGTTTCTTTAATTGTTTTATTTTATCTTATGTGAATGGAGTGTTTTGCCTACCTGTATGTCTATGCATCATATACATGCCTAATACCTGAGGAGGCCATAAGAGGGCAAGGCCTGCTTCAGTTTGGGTTCTGGAAGATCATAATGATTAGCAATAAAGTTCATCCCTCCTGAGAGCCAACTTCCTGCCATACCTAATCTTTCCTTTCTTTCCCTCTCCTTGCCCATGCCTGCCCCCTCTCTCCTAGGCTCTGTCTGTGACACCTGAGCAACCTATCAAGAAATGGGACTGCCAGAAGACTATGAATGTGATACTCAATAAGATTAAGCAGGGGAAATTTGAAAACCCCATGTCCATTGCTCAAATTCTCCCTTCCTTGAAAGGCAAGACTTACCTAGATGTGCCCCAAGTAAATTGTGGTCCTGGTAAGAACTTTTCAATGTCTTCCCCTTTTATGTCATAAAGTTGCTACTTAAAGTGCAATGGCATGTGGCTTGATGTTGAGTGGAATATTAGATTGTTTTGTCAATTCATCCCAGATAGGTAAAGTTATGATCTCCAATCCCCAAGCATGTGTACTAGCCCATAGCCAAAGGGCCTAGCTTAAGAATTCAGCTCCTTATACTGAACACCTACTTTAAGGAGATACACGGCCCGTAGTCAACACAGGGAGCTTCATTCATTTGACAAATGTACTGCCAAACATCACACATGTCTCATCTGCTCTTTACAAAGTCAGAAGACAGACATGCAGATGAAACTCCAGACTTTACAGTAATGAAATCAGTGTTAAATAGGAATCAATATCATCTACATTGCAAAGGCAAAAAGAAGAGGAGAAGGAAGAAGGAGAGGAGGAGATGAATAACCAATTGGTGATTTTATTTGAAGGGCTGAAAAGGCACAAATGAAATTCACACAAGCCTTAAGGATCTAATAATGACAGCCTGACACTCACAGAACACCAACAGGATGAGATAGAAGCATAACATGTTACTTTGTAGCATTTTTGTATCCAATCAAACACAATACTGAAATATTGCCGGGCAGTGGTGGCATATGCCTTAATCCCAGCACTCCGGAGGCAGAGGCAGGCGGATCTCTGAGTTTGAGGCCAGCCTGGGCTACAGAGTAAGTTTCAGGAAAGGTGCAAAGTTACACAGAGAAACCCTGTCTCGAAAAATCAAAAAGAAAAAAAAACTGAAATATTTAAAATTCAGATTGCCCATAAAGAGCCTTCCTAAAACTTTTGTCACTCCAGAAAATGTCTGAAATCAACTCCTTCAATTCTTTTTTTTTCTTATTAAAAACTTCTGCTTGCATCCACTCAATTCATATGACAGGAGGAAACTATAAGCTCCTCATAGACTTCAGTGCCGAATCTACAGGAGCCAAACTCAAGCAAACCCACTGCCATCATGTGAAACACCTTAGCCTGAATCCCTATGCTGCTGCCCAGTGACAGCACAAGTCTAACATGGAGTCCTTGCCAGGATTCTGGAATGGTTGTCCAAGTATCTGTGTAAATAACCTAAAGGTTACTATTTTCTTGAAATCTTTTCTGGGATAAGTTCCTGATAACAATGACTTTTGCATCCATCACTCAAACACCAAAATCTTTAATAATCTTTGCCTTTTTGTTCCTCACAGATCATGAGGTGCCACCAACTCCAGCTGACTATCCTACCCCCGTCCCCACCTCACCATCTAATATTACCGTCATATACACCATAAACAACCAGCTGAAGGGGGTTGATCAGCTCTTCAGTGAGACTATCGAGGTTAGTGTGAGGAATGGATCTGTGCTACTTGCTGTCCTAGAAGAAGCGCAGCGCAAAAACTCCATGTTCAAGTGAGTGGGGCAAATGATGTCGCCATCCCCCCAAGCCATACTCCAACTCCCCCATATTCTCCCTTTCTCTCTCTCTCTCTCCCTCTCTACCTCCCTCTTTCCCTGTCTTCATCTCTCCCTCTCTCTATCCTTCCCTCCCCCTATCTCAATAAAATCACATAACATGTAACTAATAGATTTCAGAGGTAAGTATGTATTTGATAGTCTTTGAAATTCGTGTTTCTACCCACTATCCAGTTAGGAAAGAGTAGAATATGGAAATGGATCAGAGGGGAGAATTAAATGTTGGGAAATGTCAACCATTTGCAAAAAGAGGAAGCAATAGAGGAAGATAGGAAGGTCACAATTTAGTATCAAGGGACCATGCTAATTCATGTAAAACAAAAAAGGACACTTGATGCCCAAACTCTCTGGATATGCTCTATAAGTTTAGCATTTAATATTGCCTCGTTTTTCTTCTGTCTGTAAATATAAAAATGGCACATGATACATAATAGAAACTTAAAGAGAGAAAAACACAAAGAATAAATTGCCTCCACAATCACAAAATAATCAGTTATTTAATAATCTGATAGAAGAATCCATCCCTGGTGCATGAGCAGGCTTTTTGGAGCCCACTACCTTTGATGGGACACCTCGTGAAGCCTTGAGGCAGGGGAAGGGCTTGGACTTGCCTCTAGTGGATGTGCCTCCCCATGAGAGGCCTTGCCTTCTTGTGGGGGGAGTGGGGAGTGGGTTGGGAGGGGAATGCTGGGGGGATGGGAGGAGGGAAGAGGGAGATCTTTGATTGGTGTGTAAAATGAATGAACAAATTTTAATTAAAAAAGGAAGAAAGAAAATAATCTGATAGATTTTTCTATGCATAGTACAAACAGTTGTGATTCTTCATATTCATGGGCTAGCATACATTTCTCTAAAATTTGAGTCCTTTTTTTTTTTAAATGTATTTTATGTTTAATTATGTAAGGAATGCATATGTACATGTGAGTGAAGGTACCTACGGAGGCCAAAGGCACCAGATGCCATGCTTCTTTGAAGACAGTACTCTGAGAATTTGGACATCGCTAAAGTTGATCAATAATAGAACACATCCCCAAACAATCCTCATGCACAGTATCCTCTATGATGGCTACTGCTTTAATTGCCATGTAATATTCTATAGGGGAGAACCTTGGGCACTAACTGAGCCATGGAGATGTATAGAGAGTAGAAATGTTTTATTGTATATACATGAAGGGACTCATTAGTCTGGAGTCCTCACCATACCAAACAGAAATTAACCCATGGAATCTGGCAAACGCATACTATGCAAACTAAATTGTTTGTTCTAAATAAACATATCCATAAAACATGAATATCTAAATATGGCAATACCTATCAACCTACTGAAGTGAAAATATAAAGAAAGACCCCTTTATCTATTAATTGAAATTCCATTTTAAGTGGCATGATTATATACTCATTACTCATTTGCATTTCTCTTTTGAACATTATTTGCATCTGTTCTTTAAAGCATTTGAACATCTGTCCTCTATCTTGCCTCCTGTTGCCTGACTTCAACTGAGGTGGTAACTATTTACATTTTATTCTTAGATTTGAAACCAGAATGACATCTTGGGGCCATTTTGTTACTTCTATCAACAATATTGCTGGAAATGTTAATCACAAGACATACTGGCAGTTCCTTAGTGGCAAAACACCTTTGGATGAAGGTAAGGAAAGAAAAGGAATATGTTTCTCTTCCACTTGGAAGACTACATTTACAAATTCTTTAATTAATGTACTTGATAAATGTGATGCTGTACGTGTTTATGATAAGGATAAACATAGGAACTGAGTGTCATATGTAGTCATTACATAAATACTCTACAATTATTAGTGACTCTTTTTACAGGAAGGTAACTAAATCCATGAGATGTGATATGAGTTATATACATTGGTGATGAACTCCAAGTAACCAATAATGCATCAGCATAGCATTAAGTAAAGAAATAAAAGCACATCCCCCTTGGGGCCACTTAGCCAAGAGCAAGTCCAGATTTGAATTCTCTACTTCATTACACCTGTGTCTTCCATCCTCTGTCTTTCTGTTGCATGACTCTGAATCTGTGCTTGCCTGAAGAAGACTGTCTTGTCAGTCTGCCTGGCCTGTGTGTGCTGTGTGCATCTGTCATGATGTGTCTCTGTCTGTGTGTTTCTGTGTGTGTCCCTCACAAAGGGCTTTGATCTGTGTTTATTGAACAACACAGAGAGCATTGCATGGGGAAGGAATGGGATACTTTACAGAAATCTTTAACAGTACTACAAACATCAGTGTTTATAAACCAATTTCCATAAATGGATGTTTTCAAACTTTATGGTAGATTTTAGGAAGTTGCTTTCAACTTCTGTACTTGCTGCTTTCAGCAAATGATACACATGCATTGTTCTGGGTAAGAGGCATGGAAGAGTACATAACTTAAGAACTTAATATTACAGCTATTCGTTATCTTAGGTTGTGAAAGCTGATTATATGGGAAATTCAAGGCAAGTATGTTGATTCCTATACTGTTCTCAGAAATGGAGGTTAAGCAAAGAGGCTGAGTACTCAGTAAGGTAACAGTCTTAAATATTAAGTGACCTCAAGTTATATTATTAACCTTACCAGTGAGGTCCAGCAAAAATTCCAGTCTCTTAGAATGCAAGAGATTTTCATAATATCACATCACCATGAGATGTCAAAGTGACCTGTATGAAACATGAGCCTAGAATTTAACAGAACAGACAACCAAGTCCAGGTTCCCAAACTCTAGGACAAGTGAGCTTTCTAACATAGCTTCATCAAAAATTCAGCCCTCACCATCTGTTTAGTCTCTCAAAGAAGGAATGTTGTGATGGCATTTATGTGGTAAATATAGCTAGAGTGAAACTCAGATTCCAGCAAAATCTTAATTTTTCTGAAAGTTTTGCATAAATGCTGAAACATCTTCCCACTTAAAGAGAGCACTGAGACATGCTTTTGTCTAAGGATCATGTTGACCTGACATTGATTGTTACCATGAAGAGGACTGTAAATCCAAACAGAGTCACAGGAGGCCAGTGCTGTATCCTGAAGGCTCCATCCTCCAGTTTCACCATGGGAGAGATGTTTTGCTTGTCATCTACCATAGAGTTAGGAAAAACTGGCCAGTCAAAATTCATGAGCTGCAGCAACAGGCTTTGTAGAAAGTTCTTCTCATAGTCATAATCTACATTAGACAAATAAGGAATCAGTCTCTATAGCTATAAAATGGAAATACCACTCCTTGGGTTGTTGTAAGGATTAGAAAAATTGATTACAAATATTAACTACAATATCTTTTGCAGATTATGGGTTCAAAACACTGTTATTATTGTCATTTCTCCCACCACCTTGATCTCAAGAAATCATTCTGAAATTTTAAAGGGATTATTCCCCTTGTCTGCCAATTACTTCCCTTCTCTGGGAGCAAGGACAGTAAAAGTAAAGATAGCAGATTCAAAAACATTTGGGCATGAAACTATCATATTTCCTGCTGCCTGAACACCTAAAAGATAAAAGCTATCAATATCATCTATCATTATTGTCCTGAAAGATTCTCAGCCTACTGCCCCTCCTATTTCTTACAAAACCTTCCAAAAATAAGTGAGATTCTCCCTTGAATACTTTAATTTGAGCTGTTTATTGTATGATTCCTATGTGCCAGATACATCTTCTAATATTAAAGATAACAGCATTTCAGAGAAAATATTTAACAAAATTTTCTACATGAGAGAAAAGAGACTGGCACATCTTACGGGGTTACTCCCAAAGACAAGATCCATAAAATGGCAACCTAAATGCTAAAAAAGAGAAATATATAGATATTTGCCATGCAAGATAAAAAAGCAAACACAAGAGGAAAGTAAAGTATCTTTACCAAAAAGAAGAGGAGGAGGAGGGAGAGGGAGGGAGGGAGAGAAAAAGGGAGGGAGGGAGAGAGAGACGGGGAGCCACCCACCCGTCCTAGGAACTAGAGAGATGGCGTCACAGTTAAAAGCACCTACTGCTCTTGCAGAGGACCCAGCACCCACATCAAATGACTCACAAAAGCCTGTAATCACAGTTCCTCTTCTGGCTTCCACCAGCACCTTCACACATGTGGTACACACACACACACACACACACACACACACACACACACACACACATACAACTAATAAATCTTTTTAAAAGAAAGAAAGAAATCCCTAAACAGGGCTAGCAAGAGCTGGCCAAGACATTTGACACCAGACTTGGTGATCTGAGTTTGATTCCTGGGACCCACATGATGGAAAGAGAGAATCAACTCTGACCTTCACATGCATGCACCTACACACATACGCACAAATAAGTAGCAATAATAAAAGTATTTTTAAAGAAATCCTTAAACATCCCAAATTCATATTTCTGCCCACTTCTCCCCATGGCGATCTAAGAAGCTTAACGGGCTGATGTTTTGGAATGGGAAGTTTACATGCACCATGGACATTTGTTATCCTTTGCCTCTTTCCAGGGGTCGATTATTATGTTCCCTCCAACTATGAGCACATCACAGCCAACTTCACCCGATACTGAGGAGGATCTTCTGCTGAATGTGACCAAAGGATGAGTTTTTTTTTTTCATTTCATTACAAATCTGTACCAAGAAAAGTGGATTTTAACAATGTTACTCCGTTCCTGATTTAAAAAACAAACAAAAAAAAAGAGCCAATGTGTGGTTCTTTCTCTCCATTGTGACTTATGAAATAAAATTTCTGGCTTCTCAAAACAGACTGTCAGGTGTCATTTACTCCTATGACAAGGGAGAAGTAAAGCCCCAGTCATTTGGGAAGATCGATGCAATCTTCTGGATTAAACAATCTCTATCTCTGGCTATCAGATATTTTCTTATCCCTCTCTCCTCCTCCTAAGAACGATAGAAAAGGTGGGAAAGGTAGGAACTGGACTCCCACAGTCTCCCACAGATCGTGCCAGAATGTGAGGCTTAGGTACAAAAGGATATGAGAGTGGGCACCACGGGAGCAGGGGGAGGGAAGCGATGCCTAGTAATGAATTAAGTTGAGGCGGTGGTATTGTATTCTTCAGGAGTAAAATTTTAAATATAAAGCAGAGTAGTTCAAGTTAAGATGCAACAAGTAGTTAAAGTTAGGCTGCAACAAGTATCTCTCTGTGTCTCTCTTTCTCTATGTCTGTTTCTTTCTCTCTCAATCTCTACTAAATTAGGTCTAAAAATGGTAGCAAAAATAAGTCATAGAAGTTTTGTGAAGTTTAGTTCGAGAAATGTAGGCTTGGGTATATTAGGGTAGAACAGGCTTTAAGTACAGGGATACGGTGAAACTCAGAGTAGTTTTCCCCCAGAGTACAGACGGGACCCGGGACGCAGAGAGAGCAGGATCCAGGACTGAGCAGATGCTGCGAACCTGGCAGTCCAAGAATGAAACGCCGCTTCAGAGATTGCCAGCTTCAGAAAGCAGCAGCGTAAGCGGGTACCTAGTATCAGCAGCTGAGACCCTCGAGGCATCATCGCAGATGATGCCCAAGAGACAGCTCAAGCAGCAAGGGTCTGTGAGTTTCCTGCTGTGAAAAAGCCACAGTGAGGAGAGCAGGTCAGTTAGGGGGCTTGTGAAAGCTTGACTGGCATAGCTTGAGGCTACACTCAGCCTTGACAAGCCCAGCAGAGACTCTGCCTGAGAGGCCAATGGCAGGCAGCGGCTGCAGCTTGGAGAGTGTAGCAGAGACTTTGGACCCCAGCGACTGGAGCAGAGCTGCACGGGCAGCTGGTGAGTGAGAGCACAGGGTGCTGTGGCAGCTGTGTGAGAGACAAAGCCTCCAGAGAAAGATATCCTCGGGGCGCACGCCAGAAGGGCCAGAGAACAGGTGCTTTTGAGTCTGCAGGTGTGCGTTTGGGGATACCAAGGTAGGCCTGACTACTGCGAGCAGTGGGACAGTGGTGAGCCTGCAGGGGAAGCCCTGCAAAGACCAGGCAGCACCCCCAAGAGCACCACTGCAGAGGCGGCGTGGGACCCAAGGGAAGCTGCTGGCTGATAGGACACCCGGGGCGGGATTTATGGTGTGCTTTGATCTTGCAAGGGAGAGGTCTTTTGCCTCTCCCCTTGGCATATTATAAAAAGCCTTTTGAATAAACTTTCAAGGTCGTTGGGTATTGATCCAGGCCCTCCTGAAGCTATCCTGTGTTTCTGTATTTCTTCTCTTCAGCTAGGTCTCTCTTTCTAGCTGATATTTTCTTGTCCCTCTCTTCTTCTCCTGAGAACCCTAGAATAGATGGGAAAAGGTAGGAGCTGGACTCCCACAGTCTCCCAATATATATATACAAACACATTTGTGTGAGATGAACAAAATTATTCCATGTGTAATTCCAGAATGGTTTGTAGTTCAGTTAATGATGTCATAATTTATATCTCCAGTATTTTTTTCTGGATAAATTCATGTCTTAAAATGTTTCATGGTTGGGGAAGGGGTGGGAGAGATGGCTTGGCAGTTAAGAGCACTTGGCTGCCCTTCAATTCCCAGCACCCACATGGCAGCTCACAACTCTCTGTAACTCCAGTTCCAGGCAATCTAACACCCTCTTCCAGCCTCCATGGACACTGCATGCACATGGTGCACAGACATACATGCACATACAGACACACAAAACACCCATACACATAAAACAAATTTAAAAACTAAAAATGTTCCTGGGGATCAAGAGGCAGATTCATGGGTAAAGTGGGTGTTGTACAATCATGAAGAACTGAGTCTAGATGCCCAGCACCCACCTAAAATAGTTAGGCATGGAATCATGTGACCATCCTTAACCCCAGCACTGGGGAGGTAGTGATAAGCAAGTGCCTGGAGCATACTTGCCAATGAGTCTAACCAAAACAGCGGGATCCAGTTTCAGTTAGAGACCTTGTCTCACAGACCAAGATGGATCACACACTAGGAACACCTGATGTTGGTCTCTGGCCTCTATGTGTGCACACATGGACAGGCACACCCACACACATGAACACTCACACACACATGCACACCCACATACACCATACATACACAAAAATAAAATAATAGTCTGAAAATACTGTGTGAGAAGAAATCTGGATAGAGAAGCAAAAGACTCTGAGCCACCATTCCGTACATGATTGTAATAAGCACAGTGACTGACCTGGGCAAGTATCCAACTAAAAACACCAGTTTCCTCATTGGTAAAATGAGGAACCTGGCCTGTCCTTAGTTTAGAAAAAGTTGAAGAACTGTCATTTTAGCAGGCATGGTGGTACTGGCCTGTAATCCCTGTACATAGGAGGGTGCAGAATCCAGAATTTAAGCCAGACTGGGATTTACACAGAGAAAGAAAACAAAAGAAAGGAGAGACAAGCTAAAGAGAAACGTACATTGTTAGTAATAAGATACACAGCCAGGCGGCAGTGGCACACACCTTTAATCCCAGCACTCGGGAGGCAGAGCCAGGCAGATCTCTGTGAGTTCGATGCCAGCCTGGTCTACAGAGCAAGACCCAGGACAGGTACCAAAACTACACAGAGAAACCCTGTCTCAAAAAAAAACAAAACAAAAACAAACAAAAAAAAGATACTTACACAACCTGGAATAAAACAAATATCTAAATAGCTGGAATAAAACAAACAAACAAACAAACACACACACACACACACACACACACACACACACACACACACACACACACACACACAGAATGAATTCAAATATAACTGTCACGGCAGGTCACAAACTCGTGCATGCCCTCAGGGTTACATAGCTCAGGGTGCTCAAGAATACACTTGGCTTGGGTGTGACTAGAAAAGCACATTGGTGCCCTCTAATGGCCACAAATGGGAAAGCCTAAACTTTGGAGGCGCAGTCAGCTACATATACTTTTGTAATGTTGCCGAGAAGACATAAAGGATGTTTTCCCTGAGTAAGAAGTGTACACAATTCTATGTGCCTTTGATTAGATGTGTGAGTGACCTGTGCAAAGTACAAGCACATGGTCAAGTACACCACCTTCTTAAGGAACCGGAACCAGATAGATGAAACCTTCTGTCTCTTCCAGAGCAGAGACAGAAACAAGAAGTCTACAGAATGGAGAACACGATTTCAATCTATACAAGTAGGCAGTAGTTAGGAAAACCAACACATAACAAAAAGTTTTGAAGTAACCATATCCTTTTTAAATTAGTATACATAGTATGGGCTGTTCGTATTTCATTTTTGTTGATTCTCTCCCCTGCCTCATGCCTAGCCCCTGCCCCATCACCTGCTGGTGCCCTTCCTTTTCCCTCCTGTCCTCCTTCCGTTTTCATGTCACATGTATTCTGTTCCCTTTTTTCCCTTCTCTTTTCCTGCTCCCCAATTCTCCCTTAAGACTTGCCCCCCTCATTGGTCCCCTTTCTAGTTTTCACACACACACACACACACACACACAAATTAACATCAAGGATCCACCTATGAGAAACAGAATAAGCAGTTTTGAATTGATATGGGAAAAGTGAAATCATGCATTTGAAAAACAAACTACAAACTACATACAAGCAATCACAAACGCTGAAATCAAAAGCATGAAGGAGAGCTTGATATCACTCATCAATGAAGAAATGAGAACTACCCTCTCACCACTATGTGCTTACAATTCACTAAGCTGGGGGATGCCATCAGACATCAGCTTCACCCAGCTTTTCACTAGCTTTATCCAGACAGTGTGGGACTGATATTTTGTTGTTTGTTGCTGCTGTTGCGTTTCCTCTTTATTCTCACACTTAAACCCTGTCTCGAAAAACCAAAAAAAAAAAAAAAAAAATGGCAACTTCTAGTGGTTCAAGAGATGGCTCAACAGTTAAGAGCAATTGCTGCTCTTTCAGAGGAACTTACTTAGTTCTGGTGCCACATCTATGGGCAGCTTACAAGCACCTGGAACTACAGCTCCCTCTTCTGGCCTATGTGGACACCTGCACATGCATGCAAATGTCTTGTAAAATTGTCCCTCCTAGTTACAGAGAACATAATTTCAAAATCTAAATGCTCAATACCACACAATACTACACTGAATTAAATTTAGGGGGGGAAACTGCCTCTCAGCTCAGTACTATTTTAAGTAGAGAGATAACAAAGGAAATAAGACAGGAAGAAGAGGACATCTGTTTCCTTGTTTTAGATTCTTCCCAATCAAGTAAGATTTTTGTTCGCCTCTGATCAGGCACCTCTGCTTACCTTCCAGGAATGGGTGGCACCTGTTGTGGGCTGAATTACGTCTCTTTTTAAAAACGTTGAAGTCCTGACTCCTCTCTCATCCTTCAAACTGTGGCTGTTTGCCAGGGCAAGAGGGGGAATATGGTCTTTACAAAAGTAAACAAGTTAAAATTATGTCCTTAGGGTGGCTTAGCAATGTCCATTAACACTTTGGAAGTAGATGCATTGTATAGGTGTGTAGATTTGTAAGCAATTTTCCCAGTATATGTTACAAGTATTATAGATTGTGTTTACTCTTTGTGAAATTAATTCTTCTTTTTGTTCTTGTTTTTGTTTTTGTTTTTGTTTTCTGGAAACAGGGTTTCTCTGTGTAGCTTTGCGCCTTTCCTGGAACTCACTCTGTAGCCCAGGCTGGCCTCGAACTCACAGAGATCCACCTGCCTCTGCCTCCTGAGTGCTGGGATTAAAGGCATGCACCACCACCGCCCGGCAAAATGTGAAATTAATTCTTAAGGGCACACAGATTTAACATGACTTAAGCACAACAGACATGTCTCATTTCTAATACCATCTGTCTCCTAAAAGCTTGGATACAAATCCTCTTGTTCTAATGATTACAAAGCTCCAGTCTCATAAAAAAAATAATGTGCCCAACATTTTCAAAAAGATGATTATATATTATTTTTTCCCTTCGTTATTAATTTATGGTGTGATCCATTCACTAAGGTCTCTGAAGTCACCGAGATTGTGCTCAAATTTTTCATTGTAATGCTGAGAAAAATCCTTTGCAAAATAGTTACAATGATTTTGAAGCAAACATTACTAAAAAACAAAAAAAAAAAAAACATTAGCTTATCTCTAGGGCTCACGAGGTAAGTAAAAACAGGATGAAATACTGACATCTCTACCTTCACTTTGTGTCTTTATTCTGGCTAAAGACCCAGAGATAAGTCACTGTCTTTAACTTTCCCTTTTGGGTTACCTTTTTATTATTATTTTATTTTGATTGTACCGTGTGTGTGTGTGTGTGTGTGTGTGTGTGTGTGTGTGTGTGTGTGTGTGGTGCACACACACGAGCGCACACTACATGCATGTCTAATTCCCCCAAGGAAGCCAGAAGAGGATGTCTGGATGTCTGATCCCTTGGAACTAGAGTTATAGACTGTTGTGAGCCAGACACACCTGCAGCTCCCTCTCTTGGATTTCTGGAAGAGAAGAACTTGAAGACAGAATGCTGTCCCTCTTCTGAGAAGACAAAGGCTGCATCCTGAAACATAATTGATCTCATAGAAACAGACTGATCCTGTTAAAACCATGCCAGCTTGAGAGGACTACTGTGCCAAACCCGAACTGAGGCAATGATCACCCAGACACCTTGACCAAGGCTACTCAATTATCTATACTTTTTACTCGACCCCCTATCTCATACCCCAATTCGTCCTCTATCTAAACTAAAAGCTATGGGCATGGTGGAACATGGGGAAGTTGGAGCAGGAGATCTCTGTGAGTTTGAGGCCAGTCTAGTCTACATAGTGAGGTCTAGGACAGCCAGGAGTATACAGGAAAGAAAAGAAAGAAGAGAGAGGGGAAGGGAGGGAGGGAAGAAGGAAGGAAGGAAGGAAGGAAGGAAGGAAGGAAGGAAGGAAGGAAGGAAGGAAGGAAGGAAGGAAGGAAGGAAGGAAGGAAGGAAAAGAAACTTAAAGCCCATGTCAGAGCCATGAAGACAGTCTTGGATGGTCACTGGACCCCTTCATCTGTTATTTCAAATGAAGGCAGCTTAAATGAATGTTTTCGCCATTACTTCTCTTTAATTGACATATTGGGACAAGCGATCGAACCTAGCCTGTTGGGACTGTCCAAGCCTGGGCTTTTACCTTGAAAACTCCAGCTACAGCCCTTCTCATGGATTTATCAGGACAAAACTCTGCAAGCGCCCAGTAAATAAGCCAATGACAAATCAATGTCATCTTTCTAACGTCCTCCAGAGAAGGGATATAATGCAGCGAAAGTTAAGGGAACCATTTGCCTATCAAACCTCAGGCTTTCCCAGCTTTCTAAACCAAGGAGAAAAACCTGAGCGGTCACTATGCCGGAAAAACCGGAGACCCTGAGAGAAACACGGAACGCCTGGGCGTGGCTTGGCGTGCCAGACCTTCAACCCGCAGACACCTGCTCCGGAACCAAGTGTAGGGCTCAAGTTTCCTCCGCTTCCGTCAGGACTCTCTAAGGAATGGAGTGTAGCAACGCCACTTCCGGTTCTGGGTGGCTTCCGGCCGACTGGACTCTGGATTTTACAGGGGAATCTGCTGTTGTCGCCGAGAGAATCCTGACCCGGCCGCTCGCGCGTGGCCATGTGGAGGCTGCTGACGCGCGCCCCCGCGCCGCTCCTGCGGGTGCACTTTTCAGGTCAGAAGACCTGTTTGGTCTTTTTAAAAGGCATTCCCCTGTTCTTCCTCCCCACATTCCAAAGTAAATGCTTACTCTGATGAGTCCTGCTCTTTCCTGCCGCCACCTCCGTCCGCTATGAGGATCCCTGGGTCCCAGTCATGTGCGGGAGCCGTGCTCCGAGTCCCTGCTAGCTCCCTCGGGAGCCCATTTAGTGGAACTCGCGCCCCACACTGGTAGTCACCTCCGTCAGAAATGATCCAGAGTGTACCAATAGTAATTTAATTTGTCTTTGTAGATTCTTGGGCAGCTCTTCCCACCACCAGTGCTGGTCTGAAAACCCTCCTCCCAGTGCCAACTTTTGAAGGTGAGCGCCTGTCATTTCCACTTTTTTCTCTGATGAACCCCAGCGGATGGTAAAAGACATCAAAGGTGTTCTTGGTGCTTCTTGTCTTCACTGAGTGATTCTACAAATATAGGTAATGAAGTGCTGACAAGCAGCGTTCTAAGAACTAGTGGCAAAGAACAAAAGAAACCATGAAAGTTCCTCACCTATGCGGAGCAAATACCTGTTTGGTTAGTTCCCCGGGATCCTACCACTGATATGTGGCCCCCATGATCTATTCAGTCAGAGCTAACGGGTCATTAATCAGACTGATCTTCTCCCTAAATGACAGTCCATAATGCAGACACGTAGCAATAGTAACCAGGTCAGCTGCAACCCCGTAAATCTAACTTTACTGTTTAGTGTACTATTTTCTCCAAAATGCAAACAGCCTGGACATCTGAGGGCCTTCTGCACATAATTGCTAAACTACTGTGTCGTCTGGAGCAATGGCTCAGCAGTTAATAGCACGTGTTGCTCTTGCAGAGGACCCAGGTTCAATTCTCAGAATGCACATGATGGTTCACAACCATCTATAATTCCAGTTCCAGGGGATCCAACACCCTCTGCTGCACATCAGAACATACAGGCAAAACGCTCATAAAATTAAGAAATAAAGTACCGTGTGCTCTTGGAAGTGCATACTAACTTGTAGATGAAAGAAAGCATTACCAAGTTTCTCAGTAGTTGCCCCTAGAAGTTGGAGGGGAGGGTGGTTTTTATAACTTGGCATGTCAATTTTATAATTCCACTGATAATATGATGAATCTTTGAGGCTTCTTGGTTTGTTTATTTCTGTCATGGAGCCATGCTTTTTTCATATTCATTTTTTTATGAATCACAATTGTTTTTCCGAAGTTGCCAAATAAAGAGGGTAAAGATGTTAAAATACTGATCAGAGAATTCCTAGGTTGTAAGTTTCTCAAGAAAAATACAGCACAGTTGAAAAACTTAATGTTTTTGTATAATATTTTGTACCCCCATTAGCATTAAGAGGGGCAGTAACTTTTTCTTTTTCCATTTATTTATTTGTTTGTTTTGAGACAAGGTTTGTGTAGCCTTGGCTGTCCTGGAAGTAGCTCTGTAGATCTGCCTGTCTCTGCCTCCCAAGGGCTGGGATTAAAGGCTTGTGCCACCACCACCTGGCCCGACTTTTTTTTTTTTTTTTTTTAAGAACATGCTTCTGTTTTGATGTTTTAACTGAATTAATTGTAAAATGTCTCTATGCCCTAATTCCTCTTTAAAATGGAGATTAGTATACCACCTGCCCAATTATCTGTTTCTTGATCTAGGTGAAAATTATATGTTCTTGTTTTCCATTTCTTTTTATTACTTTTTATTTATTTTGTATGCGCCTATGTGTGTGGGTGCACACATGCCCTGGCACACATGTAGAGGTCAGAAGACAACTGATGGGAGTCGGTGCTCTCCTTCCACCGTGTGGGCCCCAAGGATGCAACTCAGCGAGGCAGGCCTGAAAGCAGGTGCTGTTTACCAGTTGAAACATCTCACAGGCCCCTTGTTTTCAATTTCTAATACTTCACTTTGTAATACCACCCCCTTGTCCACCAGGTGTGGTGATGCACCCACTCAATCCAGGACTTCTTACAGGATTGAGGTTACACAAGGATCACCATCTGACCCCCATGAAGGCTGTCTCAGAATACCAAAGCTGCTTTAAAAGTGAGATGAAGTAATATAGAACAGTCCCTGTTATAGGTGCTGAACATAGAGCAGGGGGTTAGTATGTGAATTTGGTTTAGAAACATTTGCAGAAAGCATTGTTATAGCTGAGAGACCCCAGTCTCACTGGAAACATCCACAGGAGAATAATAAGCTTTGTAATTACTATTCAGTGACCTAAGACTTCCACTTAATTGGTGTGACTCTTCATAGGAAGAAAGTAGATCCTCCGAAAACTGTAGCTTCACTTATTCTTGGTTGTTTTTGTTCCTGCTAGATGTCTCCATCCCTGAAAGGTCCAAGCTTAAATTTGTTGAAAGGGCCCCACTTGTGCCAAAAGTAAGAAGAGAACCGAAAAATCTGAAGGACATACGAGGACCTTCAGCTGAAGCCACTGAATTCACAGAAGGCAATTTTGCGATTTTGGTGAGTGATAAAAGAAATTAACAAAGTTTTCTACTCTTTGATTCTAGTCTCTTCCTTCCACATTATCAGAACTGCCACACCTAGATGCCACAGTCCAATTACTCTTTAAATAGATGGAGGTCGTAGGATTGAAAACACAGTAGTCCTGTACTGGATGCTTGAGAGTGTGGATAGCACTGAATTCTGTGTACAAGCCCTGTGATACTGTTGCAGTGGATCTGATAACCTAGTGGCCACTAAGAAGCCCACAGGCAGGTACCTGTACAACAGGTATATACTGACCAGAAAGATGATTCATATCTGGGTGGAACTGTGTAGAACAAGATGATATTAGATTTTTATTGTTTTCGCCAGGATCTCCACTTAACTATTTCAGATGGGTTGAAACTACAGAGAAGGTGAGGAAGGCTACTGTGAAAGCGGGCAACAAAGGTGCTGCTTCGTTTGCCCAGTTAGAACGAGGTCTTTGTAAGCCTTTGGTAAAAGTGGAATATTCCTGGTTGAGGGTTAAAGCAGCTGCTTCCTTATTTGTTGAGTGGTTTCCATAAAGATTAATGTCAGTAGCCACACAAACGGATGTGCACTAGCATTTCTGCTCCATGAGGCAGCCAAGGTGATATCTGTGAAGTCTTTTTCCCTGGCCTGCATGAGCACGGCTGCATACCTCTCAGAAGCTGCATTCTGCGTTCCTCCTGAACCCTAGCAAACACTGGCTTCTGCTCAAACTCACCAAGCCCTTTGCTGTGCTGGGGCGTTGACGTCAGTGTTTCTCTGTCTGGGACTCTCCTCTTCTCTCTTGACTAGTTCTTAGGACTCTATCCTCAGCTTTACATAAGAACTTACGTATTTATTTTCGTGTGTATCGTTAAAGCCAGTTGTTAGTTATTTAGCGGCGCTCTTACTCTGCAAGGAAATGTCACGAAACACGACAGAATCCACTAACAAGAGTTTTATTAAGATGAAAGGGACAGACGAGCGCTCAGGCCTGTGGAGAGACACGTGTGTGGGAAAGAAGAAGAAGAGGGAGCCGGGAATATGGTGCCGGCTTATAAAGGCTGGGCGGTGCACACGTACACAGGTCAATGTAACTACTCCACGCATGCGCGGATCACATGGTTGCGTTGCATGCTCTTACGCAACCACGCAAAGTCACGGGGTCCTAGTCACGAGAGACGCCTTGACCCAGAAATGGCTATTTTGACCTGGAACTGGCTAGGTGGAAGTGTCTAAGTCCGCAGGGCATGCGCAAACATACCCAACTGTGGGGGCGTATTGTGAACCCATCACCAGTTACTATAAAAGAGGAAGCATAATAGACTCCATAAAAGATTTCTAAATCCCTGTGTGTTCTAATTTTTCTATTCATTTTTAGGCACTGGGAGGTGGTTATCTCCACTGGGGCCATTTTGAAATGATGCGTCTGACAATCAACCGCTCTATGGATGCCAAGAACATGTTTGCCATATGGCGAGTACCAGCCCCTTTCAAGCCCATCACTCGCAAAGGTGTCGGGCAGCGCATGGGGGGAGGTAAGGGTGCCATTGATCACTATGTGACACCTGTGAAGACTGGCTGCCTCATAGTCGAGATGGGCGGACGCTGTGAGTTTAAAGAGGTCCAGGGTTTCCTGAACCTAGTTGCCCACAAGTTGCCCTTTCCAGCAAAGGCTGTGAGCCGTGAGACTCTAGAAAAGATGCGCCAAGATCAGAAAGAAAGAGAGGAGAACAACCAGAATCCCTGGACCTTTGAGCGCATAGCCACTGCCAACATGCTTGGCATGCGGAAGTTCCTGAGCCCATATGACTTGACGCAGAGAGGGCGATTCTGGGGCAAATTCTACCTGCCTAAGCGTGTGTAGTGAAAGCACAGGAAACGTGCACACAAACTCTTGAAACTGTGATCTGCATCTTTATTGTCCTTAGGATCTTCGGTGGTTTTTGGATCATAACTAAGCACATGAGTAAGTGACTTCTGGAAAGCTGTGTTATCTGACTGTTTCTAATTAAAGTTTGAGTGTAACCTCAAGGTACAACTTCTCATTGGTCAGTTTCAATTGCTTAAGAGATTAAGAATGATTTGGCATAGCCAGCTGTGGTGGAGCATGTCATTGATCCCAGCACTCAGGAAGCAAAGGCAGGCAGATCTCAATTGAGTTCAAGCCAGCCATGGCTACAAGCAAGATCCTGTCTGGGGGGCGTGGGGGACAAAAAAAACAAAAAAACCTGGGAGGAACTCTTCCTGCATTGTACCATACATGTCTCCAGAGCCGAAACTTGCTTTTCATCTCACAGCTGGAAATGTAAGTGTGTACACTGCCTAGTTTATGACATTTTGCACACTACAAATGCATTTTTTGGAATAATAAGGATAAAAATGACAGTACCTGGATTAGTAGGTTCAACAGATATTTATTAATACCCAGCTGCCCATCTTCTGTCAGTCTCAGAAGGGGAAACATGGAATATGACAAGGAGTATACCATTTAGCAAAAGAACTGATAACAAAAGTTGAAACCTTTGGTGCTTCCTAGGTCTGAAACTGTCTGAGGGAGGGCATTTTGGCTCTCTGTCCCTTCAGGCTCTTATGTATGTCGAGCACACAAGTTACCGCTGGATAAATGAGGGTCCCGTGTGATCCAAAACTTCATGGTTCCAGCTCCATTTGTATGTAACAAGATTAATCTGTTTTTCTGAGCTAGCCAGTATCCCCTATTCAAACTAAAACACAAATTGATAGCAGTATTAAACCACTTGCTTTTGAAAGTGAGTAGAAAACAGCACACTAATAAAACATTGTTTCTTCATCCTGTTTCTTAAAAAATAAGATCTCTAACAAAAAACAGAAATATTTCACTTACTTTCAAAAGGATATTTAGTCCCAGTTTTTTAATTTATCTTAATGAGTGTCTTCAGTGTAATAATCTCTTAGTAAATTATTTTTTAAATCAAAACACAATGAAACCTTGGATTGGGAATGTGCTTGAACCAGTTTCTTGCACCTGTCACTGACTAGCAGTTTCTGCTAACAGATCTGGTGTGGTCAGGAGCCATAGCCTGACCACACTTTTCTCCCTTACATCTCCCATTGTTACAGATCACAAAGTGTGCCAGTTTGGTTAACTATTGGGAGCTGAATCATAGTATAAACTTCTTTCTTGTCGGAGGAAGAAATTTAGTTAATGAACCTCCATCCTGAAGCCAACCACCATCTCTGCAAAGTGAGAGGCTACTGATAGAAATCTATACCACCAACAGAAACTCAACTTCTACTTACCAACACCCACCCCCCCCAAAAAAACCACTTTAACGTGTATGATATGGTAATGAGGGGGTTGTAGTATTTTTGCATAAGCCACTGATAGTAATAAACCATGTTCCCAATCATATCTTAAAAGAGTTTAAAAACCCAGCCTAAGGACTCATCCATGAATGGAATCAAAGCTTGACTGCAAGTAAGCAAATATGTGACAGTGGCAGGCACTGCTAAGCAACAGGGACATGGCAGTGTTTAAGTTAGGCATGGTGCCGATCCTTAAACAGTCTATGCTTTAAAACTATTCTTGGACCCTGAAGAAGGAAGCAGACATCTGGTTGGTTAAGGGTGAGGCCGAAAGAGCCTCGAGAGTTAGAAGTAGTGAGACAGGCTCACGGAGTTCAATTTAAGACCCTGCGAGTTGGGCATGTTACAATACCTGCCTCTCCACCACTGTCCTGGCATTCAGGCTGTCTGTGTTGTACCCTAACAGGGACCCATTATGCTTCTCTACCACGCAGGCCTGCCCTTTAAGGACCATCTAAACCAGCTGTGTACTGCTGTGCTCCCTGTTCCTTCATCCAGCCCCCTTCAATTCTGCATTTTCGTTAATTTGTTCCCTCTGTGTGACATTTAATAAGCAGTTGACTGGTGCCCTGTGTTGTAAGTTTCCTAATGAAAAGAGGCATAGCTGTTGAGGACTCTGAAGGGGAGAAGTGATGGCACCAGAGAGGTGAAGATTGGAGATGCCTGTGGAGATTCCATCTGTGAGGGCAGAAGGAGGTAACAGAAAATGGAAAGAAAAATCATGTATTACACAGCATGGTCTTCATAGCCAGGATACCACCTCTCCTTTGAAGGTGTGAGAAAGTACTCTCAAAACTGTACTGGCTTGTCCTATCCTTGGAAGTGGGGGGGAGGGGTTTAAGGCAAGTTCAATGCAAGTTAATTCTTACTCCTCTTACCATTTCCAGATACAGAGGCTCAGATTTTACAAGAGGAATGAATATCCCTTACTGTTCAGAAGCACTGTCCCACCAGACTCAATCATGGGGCAGATTCTACCTTGTCTCCCCATCTCCCTCACTGACTACCTACCACCAATTATTCTTCACCTACTTCTCTCCAAAACATCCCTTTCCTTGGTTTTCTCTAACAGTGACCTAGTCCTGCGCCCAGCCCCCACCCCTTATTAGGCAGTCTGGTTTGCATACAATGAAAGCAAGCAGAATACAAGTAGTCAAGTGAGTGACAGCAGGCCTGGCCCTCCCCAGACAGCTCACCTTTTCAGGCAAATATGCCCCCAATAGTAGAAGCCAAGATGATGGCAAGGATAATACAGCAGATCATGATCATGATCTTCTTCTGCTCATCATAAGGAGAGAGAATTACATGAGAAATGGCATCACTGTGCAGGTACACATTCTGACGACAAGGAGACAGGTACAGCTAGATACGGAAGAGGGAAGGAGGAGACAGGAAACACCAGAAGGAAAATGGATGGATCTGGCTTGTTCACACAAATGTTTCCAGGTTAGACTTGAAATCAGATCCACAGGGATCTGTGTGTTGCCCTTTCTGCCTTCTGGCTATCATCCCATCAGATCCCCTACTTCCTACTAGAGCAAGTTGAGTGACAGTTTTTTTCAGGGGCACCAAAAGTCACCACATGGTGGCACCAAATCACCAAAGTGTTTCCAGGGAGATGGACCCAGAGCTGTTTTGGAATCAATATAAAGTCATTTATTTTTAAATTAGCAATAAAATAATCAAGTTTACATTAAAAAAATATAAACAACAAAAGCCCTTCACATGTGGCATTTATTTCAAACTTTCATCCCCTGAATCATTGTCAGAGGAGAGAGAAGGCCTGCACTGAGAATTGTCACCCCTCCTAGCTGGAGCCCATGTCCTGTCAGACGTCACAGCCATAGGAAGGAAGAAGGGCATCCCTGTGGCTCTGTCCTGAGTGCTGGATGACTGGAGAGAAAGTCTTTACAAAGGAAGCTCATGGGCAGTGCCTGGATTAGAATGTTCACCCTGTTCCACAAAGCATTAAAGTTGGGGCTTCAATACCCAAAGTCGGGGATACTGGCAGGGACCACCAAAGGTCTAAGGCTTACCACTGGGTTGCAATCACTAAACAAGGATTTCTAGGCTGTTGCCTCCATGGTAAGAATTATGGGAGACAAGAGAGCAGGAAGAGCTGCTCGATAGCCTCCCAAGCCTCCCGCCAGAGAGGGACATCAGGTGAATAGTACGGAGAACATCAGATAGTTTGGGGAGGCTCTCTGGACCACCCTCTTGTAGGCAGCAGCTGGGATTAATATTACACTGTCTACTCTCTGCAGGAAACTTCAGTGGGAATCATCTCAGTCCTTACTCCAAAGGTCTCATTTGATTCCCATCTCAGCAGCCATCCAGAAAACAAGCTCCGTGATGACAAGGGTGAAAATCACATTTTTACAATGGTTCACTTGAGGTAAACATATATCCCTTACCTGATTCTAGCCAGGCTCTGTTGTTTACCTTGCCACTTTTTTTTTTTTTTTTTTTTTTTTTTTGAGCTCAGAGTATCTTCTAGTTTTCCTGCTTCCTGAAAGGCAGACAATTATGTACATATCTCTCACATACCGTTATAAAAGTACACTCTGGACACTTCCAGAGCCTGAGACTATAGCACCTTGTCCCTGGCCCAGTTATAAATCCTCGGTTCTGCTTGGCCTCCAAGTCATGGCTTCACAAATAGCGATTCTCTAACAGTGACTAGCCAGTGTCCAAGACTCACACATGGAAGCATATTCCATAACTTCAGTCTTTGCCAATGGTAGCTTCAGAGGACTGTCACCCTGGTCCCTCTGAGTAAACAAGAGTGAATACAGAGAAAAATCAAAGTGGCCCACAAACTGAACTTAGAGCTTAATTAAAGGGTGGATTTCAAATAAGTCATAAGCTCAAAACGGCATCTGTCAGTCCCTCATGTTCTCAGGACATAGGACAACAAACTAGGGCCTGGCATTCTGCCAGCCAGGGGCTCTGATCCAAGCCACACTCCTGCCAGACTTAGACGAGCCCCTCTATTTTGTTGGTTACTCCCCTGCAAAGTATATTCCAGGAGAATATTCCATGAGGTAGAAATGCAGCGCCTCAGGCTGGTCTCACAAGGACTTTACAAGGCGCAAGGTGTAAGAGACACACCAGAAGGAAGGAAAAGCTGGGTTGCTTCACACAGTCCAGGAGGGAGGGTACATCGGCTGCTAGGGTGGGAGGTGGTTTTGAGGAGAACTCAGGGCTGCATCAGGTAGGTTAGATTCTTCCAGGGGTGGATTGCTGAGCCAGGTCCGAGGGTGGCTACAAGGAAATAAAGGAACAGGTGCCCCTCGTTCTCAGGAAGGCCATTAGAACTCCGTTCCCATCTGGAGACAAGAATGGTCAGGCCAAGCTGGAGTGAAATCGGGTTCTAAGAGAGGCAAGGAGAAGGAGGGGGCACTGATCAGTATACAGGACAATGCTAAGGCATGAGGAATTCGCCACAAACCCCAAATGTGGAGATTAAAGATCAGAAACGCCTACAAAAAAAGAGCATGCAGAAGTCAACACTAAATTGAAATAGCCCAGAAACAAACTTAAGGCTGGACATGTGAAACAAAAGATCTGCATTGTAAAAGAACTAATAAAACCTCTAGGTCAGTGTTTCTCAACGTTCCTAATGCTGCAACCCTTAATAGAGTTCCTCATGTTGTGGTGACCCCCAACCCCAAAATGATTTTCGTTGCTACTTCATAACTGTAAATTTTGCTACAGTTATGAATGATAATGTAAATATCTCTGTTTTCTAATGGCCTTTTGGGGGTTGCAACCCACAGGTTGAGAACCACTGCTCTAGGTACAGGGGACTGTGGTGGTGGTAGTGGGGTGTGGGGGAGACTGACAATAAAATACATGTGACATGAAAGGTGAACAGAGAGCTACTGGGGTTGGAGATCCAGCAGGAGGTGGGTAGGCAGGTCAACAAAAAATACATACATGACATAACGAACCCATTACTGTGCATACTAATTTTAAAAGTGTTTCAGTTATTTAACAGTAGTACCAAAAATATTTAGGCGACTTATATAAGCCTTTGTGCCACAATCTATTAGCTGTGGAAGGACATGGGGATGCACAATCACTAGTTGAAAACACCTGTTCTCTGCCTGTCATGTGGCAGCTCTTCTCTTGAATTCAAGTTTCAGAAGCATCCTATATCCAGATCCTCTCCAGGAGCCCTCCCTTCACATAGGAAGCAGACAGGCACAATCAAAAGACTACGGAAAATCTCAGGTGTTATACTATGGCTGCTTCATCTTAGAAGTGATGTAAGAGTGGGCAAGTTTCTCCAGTGGCTCTCTGTAAGTTAGAGGCATGGATGACGTCTTAGCCCTGCAGCTGGCATGCAACTGCAAAATGTAAACACAGAGTGTCCTTGGTCATGGGTTGGCATAGGAGACCGGTGAGCCTAGACCTAGGTGCCAATCAACCTTGGCTTTACTAGGGAATACTGAACAACATGCAGTAAGCCACGTAACTTCAGAGCAACTTAATGCTGTGCAGTCTGGTTAGTCAGCGAAAAGTAATAGTGTTAACCTCCTCAAAAATGAGTCTTCTATATTCTGAATTCTTGGAATTAGAAATGAGGGTTAAGAGGCATCATGAATTTGCAAGGCATCTTTCATCTGAGGATATGGAAAGATAACAACTATTACACCTTTTTTTATTATTTTACCATATTTTGCATTGAGATAGTCAAGACTGAGCAAAAACTAAAACTTTATAAAGAGAGGTCATCAAGGACTGTAACGATGTCAGGAAAAAGACAAGGGATCAAAAGAACCTATGAAGCTTGATTGCCTCATCGCAGTTATCTCTCAATGTAAAGTTGAACACTTAAGATTTACTAATCTGACTTCCAGATCCTCCAGTCACATGGAAAAGGGAGAGATGCAGTGATACACTGAGGTGGGACAAAGTAAATGAAGGATCAGCCCTGTGTCAACATCGAAGTCTGCATCACTTCTCAGGGAGGTTTGTGCTTGTTACCTCAGTAATCTAATTTCTGAATTTACAGTAAAGAGAAAAAAAAAATATAAAGCTCATCACATTTAATGATAGCAAAATAATATAAACTTCAGCACTGAGGAAATGCTAAATGTCCTCATGTTGAGAATTAGATTTACAACAAGATTTTAGTGACAAAGAATGATCTTTAGGATTTTCTAACTGGGTAAAAAGCATTATATAGTTAATACAGCCTGAACTATGCAAAACTGAGAGTGTGTGAGACTGCCACGTGTTTAGAGAAATAATATTACAATGTAACTTCACTTGTCTATATCTTACAAGATTTTAAAAATGACATATGCTCTGTTTTATTCAGAAAAAAAGAAAGTTCTTAAGTCCCAAGGACTACTAGGTCATCTTTATCATGTTCACCAATGTCAAGCCTAATTTACTAGCCAGCTATATCTTAATAAATGTTGGTTGATAGCCTAGAATTCTCTGGACTTTATAGACAATGATAAACACTACCTTATTTTATAAAGAGAAACTAAGATGTAGCACTCTCCTAGGTCCACTATTAGCTGTGTGAGTTTGACCCTTCTCTAAGACTTGAAATTTTCTACTTCTAAAATAATACTACCTGCCTCATAAGAATGTTGTGAGGATTCTGTTACATATATAAGGTGCTTAGCAGACTCTCTGCCATGAGTCAACACTTAAAAATGTTACAAGTACCTCATTCAAGAGCCAACCATTCAGCCACAAACATAACTCTTAAAGGCCTGACGCCGCAGCATAAAGCTTCAGTTATGTTGAAAAAGGACAAGGAAAGCTAACCCCAGCATCCATGAAAGTTACTAAGAATTTAGAAGATAGCTCCCAGATGATACCCAACATCTACCCATGTTCCCTGGGTACGGACATCAAATGAGATGCTCAAGTGTGCCAAGCAACAAGACAAAGTAGGACAGAATCTTCAGGCTACAAACAGAGAAGACATGACCAATAATACCCTGCAGCCAGAACCCAAGAGTGGAATTTGAAAGAAATGAAAAAAATCATGGCTACCAACAATTTTAAAGCACATTGTGACAGTCATTAGAAAAGAGTAGATTTATGAAATCCCAGTCTAATCCTCAGGAGGAGCCAGTCCAGAGCCCCCAGAACCGTTCATCTACTTACATTTCAGTGCAGCAGCCCCTTAGGCCACTCTTACTTCAGCCCAACGGACAGTCCAATAATCAACGCTAAAATGCCCAGCAACACAACTACTACCACAATGATAATTATCAATTTCTGGAGAAAGGAATAAGAAACAAAAATAAAAATCATTACAAAAAAAGTTAATAAAGTAGCAACTCATCTAACATTCAGCCCTTCTCATCTCTTTTACCAAGAAAAAAAAATCTCAATCCAAATAAAAATGCATGTCTACATAAAAATGTTTTCATGTATATTTTACATTTCTTAAATTCCTTTACGCCTAGCCAGCAAGTAGAAATGTGGAGCACCTACAGCTCTCAGCTCATAGGCTTGCATATGTACACTCACGGCAATCTATATCATGAGGTCTCCAAGCAGCACTTGGCCAATCCATAAAACATGTAAATTTGTCTTTTCAACAGCGAGCACAAAGATATCTCTGACATAGTCCTAGTTACCAACTTGTATTCATCTGCCCTCTTAAAGTCCAGTATATACTTCAGAACACATATACTGAATAGGTGTCCAAACTGCGAGTTAGCACAGATTCAGAGGAAAACTGAATTGCTGGCTCCCTGAATAGTTAGTTGCACAAGCAATAGAAAGAGCAGTTGGAAGAGAAAGAGCTAAGAATAAAAACATCAGAGCCCACAAGGAACAAAGAAGAGTGAAAGGTAGAAGCTGCCATCGCTGGACGTACACAGTCAATGAGGACAGAAGCTTTGAAGTTCTTGAGCATAGGGCCAGGAGGGCAGACAGACACAAAGATACAGTGGAAAGAGTATGAGTAGGCTGTGAATGCCAGGCCCACCTCCCGGGCTGCTGAGTGGCCTGAAGCCAGCTACTTACCCTCTGACCTTCAAATTGCTTCCTCTAGAGAAAGGAGCTGCTTCCATGAACAAATGGTAACTTTTATATAACAATTAGCATCTGTGCTAGGTTCAAGTAAGAGAAAAAGAATGGGGAGCCCAAGCCCGGTGGAAGATGTTACCAAAGATCTGTGTAATGGGTTAAGGGTTCATCAACTACATTCAGGAGATTAGTGACAAGACCCAGGCCATGTCTCCAGCCTACAGGGGTGCTCAAGTGTTGGTTCTTGGGCCAAAAGTATGTGAGAGCCAGATCCATGCAAGGTACCCAGGAAGAAGGAAGTCTCTAGGAAAGACTAAGGTAGGGGTTTGGAAGAGGCTAGGACAGAGAGGGAAGACATGGGCTCAAGGACAGAGGTATAAAGGTGACAAAAGACAGGAAGATAAGGTACAACAAGCAGAGACTGAGGCGCTCACCCTCCGGGCTTCGCTCTGATACTTGACAGCCTTTTTGGTATCTGCCACAGCCCGCTCCACAAAGCCCACTGACTGGTCCATGTTGTTCTCAATACGGTCAATCATGGCTCCCTTTCCCCAGATGCAAGATGTGGTGGCAACAGAAACAGACAGAAGGAGGGGAGAGAGAAAGCGCAGTAGCAAACAAAATGGACTCTCTTGTCTGAAGACAGAAGGAAAACCTCACCTTCCGAGCTTGACCCTGATACTTCATGGCTTTTTTAGTTTCATCCCGTGCCTTCTCCACATGGTCCACGGTGTGCATGACATTCAACTCTATGTTATCTAACATCTCACCCTGAAAAGGAGACACAAGTCACACTTGTTAACTCACCCACAACAGCCCCAGCTAACGTGGTGAAGGGACTCAACAGTCTTCCATGCCAAGACACATACAGAAACCTTAGCACACAGCCTTCTGTGGAGCAAACTTGCCCATTTCCTATGTGATGACCTAGAGTTCCCCAGTCCTTGACAGTGGTCACTCATTCTACAAATCCTGGATTACTTCCTTCAGATCAGCACTGTGCTAAACACCTTGGAGCAGGTTTTCTAGATGCTTAGTAACTATGTATAAATATACACAAAGAGATTCCCTCTCCACATTTTTCTTTAATTTTCTTATCTTTTACACATATAGGGATGAACCAAAATAAGAAAGTCTCCAATTTTTAGAATATCACCAGGATGCTGGCCCCCTGTTAGCCATTCAGGCCCAAACCAAGTTCATTCAGCCTAAATGAGTTTATTCACCACTGTAAATATCACCTGGCACATAAAAGGTATTCCTAAGTATCAGGTGGGCAACAGTAGAAAGTACTTATGCTCTTCCAGAGAAATCCCCAAGCTCCTTAAGCAGTAGGTGCTGGGTTTACCCGTGCTCATCTTCCCCTCCAGACGCTAGTCTTCTAGTAAGATTACCAACTATTTCCCAGCTTGTACTTCCTATCAAGGAAGTTTGGTCACTCCAGTTACTTCCTGAAGTAGAGGACTCCCCTCACCCTCCGTCCAGACCTTTCTCAACCCGATCCTGTCACCCCAGGGCTCTCAAATAAACACAGCAAGGCACTTACCATAACTTGAAACTCAAACCAGATCCTCGGCAAGGCAATGTGGTGGGGAAAAAAGAGAAGTGGGAATGGAGGGATTGAGAAAGGGTCTCAAAGGCCAGAAAGAGGAATAGGAGGAAAGTACCAAACTAAGGGCAGAGAACTAACGTGAAAACTAGTCGGCCAGTGCCCAGGCTTCAACGAGGCTCAGTGGTCCACCGCCTAAGCAAGTTTCCAATTCTGTCCAGATAGCTGAACAGCTGGAGGTTCCTGGTGAAGGCTGTACAACCCTGTGACCCTGCTTGATATGTAACTCTATCCCAAGAACCAGGGACAAACTATCTGACAGAAATGAAGAGCATATGCAAGCAATACTGAATTCCACCCCTGAGCAGGCATACCTTGGGATGAACTGCCAAGTACCATAAATGCTTCTAAATATTCCTTTACTAATTCTTCATTCATCCCTACTGTTGATTCTTAGCAAAAAAAATGCCAACATGCTCAGAAAAACAGAAATATAAAAACAAAACAAAACTGGAAAAATTAGCTTGCTTTTAAGTTCTACAGTGAATTGGAGGGAAAAAATGTCAATAAAATAATTCACGTAAATAGGCTGACTGCCAAGGCTTTGTCAGCAAGACTTACTTTTTTTTCTTTTAGCCCAGGCGGCCCCCTCAGACTTGCTCTGTGTTAGAAGATAACCTTTAGCTGCTGGTCCTCTGCCTCCATCTCCCAAGTGCTGAGATTATAGGTATACACCACTATGCCTGCTTTATGTGGATCTGGGCCAGAAGATGGCTTGGACCCAAGACCTATTGAATGCTAGGCAGGCACCCTGTCAACTGAACTACACATGCCCCAGCCCAAGAACCCAGGTATTTACTTTTAAAGTGGGGTGGGAAAGAAGGAGAAGAAAAAAAAAAAAAAGGATGCTGGATGAACTAGGTCCTTGTCATGACATAGGAAACTTCATTACTAACTAGAATCACTGTGAAACCGAAATAACACACAGAAATAACAAGATTGAGATGGCTCAAATGCCAACACTTGATAAGTGAGAATGCACACCTCTGCCTCAGACTCTAGAATTTTGTTGCTCCATGGTGAAAAATCCCTGTTCCCTGCCCCCACTGGACCTCCAAAATGTTCTCAAGGAAATGTGTGCCTTTCTCCCTGCTAGCTACCTGATTCTCCACCAGCATGGCGATGTCCATAAACATGTCATGGAGCTCCTTGATGCTGCTCTCCAGCCTCACGATATCCTTGTGCCGACCCTCAATCTCACTGAGGGCTTGCTTAGAAATCTGTGAGTCGATGATCTACAAAAGGCCCCATACAAACAGGCCATCAGCCACGCTAGTAACAGACTGCCCCTGCACAGCCCTCACACCCCACCCCACGTAAGCTCCCTCCTCTGCATAGCCACAACTGCAGTGAAGCTCCCCATGACCCTCCCTGTCCATGGTGCCTCCATCACTCACCCCAGAAGTGAAGATGGTAGGGTTACCACTCTCCAACATCTCTTCCAGCTCCTCATCTGTTGTTTTCTTGCCAGCTTTGTGACAAAAGACATGCAACATCAAATATCAGATCAAAGCATAACTCCATTTAAAATATCCTCCCAAACCAACACTGTTTCCAACAACCCACTGACTTCTGATTTCTCTCCCAATGCAATCCACCTTTAACATTATCAGCAGTCAATCCCCACCCCCAAGCACATACTCCATTACTTCTCAGCTCAGACTGCTTATTAGCCCCAACCACCATACCACAGAGCCCCAGGCCCTCATGACAGTGCACAATTTGTGGGCAGCCCTTCCTCAACCTTACATGGCAGCTTCAAACACACCCTTCTTCCAATCCTGAACAACTTGCCACTCCTAGACAAACACATCTGCTTTTTCTTGATAACATCTTTGTTCACACAGCTTCTCCCACCTGAAGCCATTTTCCTTGAAAGGCCTACCCTCCCATATCACTAAATTCCTAAACAATTTTTAACTCTTCACAGCAACTAGCACTACACCTTTGTGTCATAAATGCACTTTTCCATTTAACAGCAAAACAATGCAATGAGTTCTCTGGAGAGCGACTATTTAGTGGGTGTCCCCGGCAGGTATGGTAAGTGTTGGATCCCATAAGAATAAAATTCCTTGGCTCAACAAATATAACACTTTTCAATCTAGGATACCACATTACAGACATACCAATCCCAGACCATCTGTCCTGTATTTGAACACCAAATAGAATGCAGAAGGCCCAAGCAGCAGGGCCACTGTTGCTTCTCCCAGGATTTGGGATGGACAACCACAGGGCAGGAAGGGGTAGGGACAGACACTGGCCCATCTTCAAACACATACTAATTTCAAGCTGCCGCTGGATGCGCCCTTTGCTGCGTTCCCGGAAGTCCACCTGAGCCTCGTTGTACTTTGTCATCACCTCCACAAACTTCCGGGAGAGGACGGAATGCTACGAAAACAACATTAAATGAGCAGACCCCAGGAGATGGTGTCAAAGTCTGCCCACCCCAGCACAGCCTAGTCTGCATCTGCCTGGGCCAGAAACCAAAAGACAAAATGCAAAACCCAGGTTTGCTCTCCTAGTTTGGTGCTACAGGAGGAGCCCACTGCCACTTTCAGTGTGCCACCCCCACTACCCGTTTCCTCCTTTACTGAACTCACATCACAATGTTTAGTCAAAAGGAGAGAATCACTGAGAATCTGAGAGCCCAGTAGCAATTTTCCACCATAGCCCTGGCTAAAGTTGTCAGCCACCCGTCCCACAAGCAATGCTTGCCAAAGATTGTGCAGTTCTTACCCCAACTGACAACCTCAACTTTTCTTGCTTACAAACAGACATTTTCTCTCAACAGACCTACATAATAACTTTAATTCCTTGCCCACCTCACAGCATCAAGCCCTACTGATATCTTTTTTTTTTCCCAAATGCACTACTTCCATGTAAATTCTGACTAAATCATTGCAAAAGCCTAACTAGGGGCCTCCCAGCCTCTTGCCTTGTATATATATATATATATATATATATATACACACACACACATTCTATATGCTGTATAATAATTACCACTTAAGCATTGGATCAGGTTCCTCCCTCTTTTTCCTGTTTTGGTTTGGTTTTTAATGTTCTCACACTCTAGCTCAGGCAGGGCAGACTTGAAGTCTTGGCAGGCCTCTTGCCTCAGCCTCCCGAGTGTTGGAGTTATGCTTTGTGACAGTTCTCATAGGACACGGATAGTTTTTGATGACTCTAAAATGTCCGACTCCAAAATGGACAACTACTAACTAACCATCTTTAGAAGACGTGGGGGGTGTTGAAGGGAAGTACTTTTAAGTGCCTTCTTTTGAGTGTGAGAGAAGGCCAAAAGGGAACACTGGGCCCTGACCACTGCTTCAACCTGGATGGTTCCATTTTCTCAGTTCCTCAAACTGAGTCCCAATACAATAGAATCATATCTTTTTTTTTTTAATGCACAATAGCGGCAAAAAATAATTAAAAGAATGGCAAAAATGATTGTTAAACCAGAAACAAAGTTACCTGGGACTTTCGGATCCTAAGGTCTGCTGATGACCGGACCTCATCTTCTTCAATATGCTTCTCCATACCTAGAGTGAGAGAGTTATTCTAGCAACCCACCTGTCCTTCCTTCCACAAAGCATCCTATCCATGCAGATTCCTTCCCCATCCTCACACACAGAGACCATGAAGGTGGACAACAGGGAGGTACAACTGCAAAAGGTTAACGTCTCCTCCCATGATGCTCTCATCAGCCTGTGCTATTGCTGCGTCTCAGCAACACAGCTGACAGTTCAGTTCAGGTCATCAAGGGACTGAGACTCAGACCCTTACCCTGCTACGGACTAGCAATGTGACACGGGGAAACCATGGAACCTCTTCCACTATCTGCCCTCTTGTTTATAAAAGGGAAAAGGTAGCAATACAAGCTGAGCACCCTGATGTGAAAGGCTTAGAACCTGGGGTGTTCCAGATTTTATCAAAACCTGGAATATTTACATATTTATAACATTGGGGATGGCACAAAGGATTCATTTGTGTTTCATATATATCTTAGAGCTTGGAGATATATTTCTAGTGTACTTGTAAGGTTAAGTGTGAAATTTTCTACTTACAGTGTAGTGAATGCTCAAAAAGTTTCAAATTTTGGAATATTTGGAATTTGGAAATTTTGGATTCAGGATGCTCAACCTGAACCTCCTTAAAATACCAATGCAAAAATCAAATAAACTGCTTAACACGGGAACAATCACATTTTCGGAAGCTATCTTCCTCTCCATACCCATTGAAAAAACTGTTGTAATTTACTGGAGAGGGAAGAAATAATACTGATTTCCTCTCTGACCAATAACACATCCTCAACCAGTACTTTGAATGGGAACACGGATGACAGCTATGGAACTAAGCAAGCATCTGGGATCCCCAGGAGGACTGGGCCTATGATAGTGGCTTTACTGAGCTGTGCTCCAAAACCAGGGGAGGAGGCAGGAATGAGAAGGCACACAGAAGGAGTGTCCGCTGGCTGAATGACAAACCCTGTACCTAGGCCTCTGCAGTTACCTCTCAAATGTACATGGGTGCTGGGGAACAGTGAGCGAGAACAAAAGGACTAAGCTAAGCTGTTTTTGTTGGCCTGGGGTGTTTGTTTGTTTTGGTTTTCAAGACAGGATTTCTCTGTGTAGCCTTGGCTGTCTAGGAACTCTGTAGACCAGATTGGCCTCGAACTCACAAAGATCCACCTGCCTCTGCCTCCCAAATGCTGGGATCAAAGGCATGGGCCACCACAGCAGCTTGGAAAGCACATTTTAACTCCCACTTTCTAACTTCAGTTCTGGTCATTTTCAACTGCAGTGAGAATTCAAGAGGCAATAAGTGTCTAAGGACGCAGTAGGTCAGGCCAGGGACAGTGCCCGAGCCTCCAGTAAAAATGGGATAGCTGATGTCACCCCCATTGAGATGACTGGCAGCTGAGAAGCGAGCTCTGAGAAGCTGCATCTGTTGTGGTGGAGACTGGCTTATTCCTGTGTCCCCTTCTTACTCTTCAGCTTGTTCCGGACGTTGTTGGCCCTTTTCTTGATCTCAGTCGTGAGCTGTTCAAGGTCGTCTTTGGTTTCTGGGTAAACATAAAAGGTAGGCTCAGTTAGAACAGAGGACGAACTGCTCCGTGGGTCACAACAATCAACAGACGAGGAGGCAGAAGCCTTCTCGGACACTCGCTGCCACTGCAGTGTTCATCCCAACGTGCTTTCCAGAATCGATCACTCCAGTCACAGAGAAATAGTGTTGGTGGAGTTTGTTTGTTTGTTTGTTTTTCTAAAGTGTTTTCAGACTAAGGGAATGGTACAGTGGTGGATCACATGCTTAGCATGCACCAAGCCCTAGATTTAATCCCTCGCATCCAAAATAAAATTATTAACTAAATTAAAAGACATTTTCCAGGCACCCCATCTCAGACTCAAAGAACCAAATACCCCAGGGTTAGAGCCCAGGATCTGCTTTATTTAAATAGCCTCCCCAATCCAAGTCATGCTTTTAGAGGAATCAATTTGTTTACCACGTGCGTGCGCTCAATCTCAGGAGAGAGGAGAGGAGTCTATGGAAGTTCTGGGGAAAAGAAATTTCAACCAAAGCCCATTAACTTAAATGAGGCAAGTATCTATGATATACCTACTACATGCCCAGGGCTGTCCCACCTGATGGGTGGAGCACCACACTCATGGTTTATGGAACAAAATCAACAACAGCTATTACCTTTATTCCAGAGCCATCATTCAGTTCCTCCACTCTTGGAACTGAGTGAGAAACTCAGGGATCAGAGAAAAGATGGAGATTCAGCCTTGAAGGGGCTAAACCTGGCAGGGTATGAATAGGGAGTACATCTGAAGTCTTGCTTTGTAGCACAAGGTATGGTTGAAGTTCTGAGCAAGGTGTGCATGGGATAGTTATGGAAAACCCCTAGCATAGCCTCAAGGGATCTGGAAGAGCCCCTAAAGGCAGAGGTAGTAGAACTGAGTCTCAACAAAAAATACGACAGGTTAGCAAATGGTAAAAGTTAGGTGGTTAGTTAGTTCGTTTGTTCGTTCATTCTTTCGTTAGTTAGCTAGCTAGCTAGCTTGTTAAAAAGACTATAGGTTAGCTAAGCAGCCAAGGATACTAAGAGCAGGGATCCCAAGGAGAAAGAATAATATATAAAGAACATGAGGGAACAAGGACCACTTGAGGAATAGCCAGAGGTTAGCATGAGTAAAGTATCAGCAGGATGGGGCAGGAGAAAGGGTGGAGAGGAAGTTAGGAACATGAGGAGACAATTCTCATATGCCCAGAAACTGGAGAGCCACTCGGGAAGGTAAAGTAGGTAACAGGGCAGACTGTTTGCTTTCCTTAGGAACATAAAATACAGTGCTAAACTGTATTCTCCAAATATAAAACACTTAGGGGAACTAACGTTTGCCTCGGCAGCAGTAACAAATACAAGTAAGAGACAAGAAAGGGACTTCATGAACTTGAACCATTCCAGAACACCTCATAAGGAAAAGAACGAATAAAAATGAACTTGACCAGGTAGGATTCTGGAAGGGGGCTGGAAAACGCACTTCAGTCAGAAGAAAGAATGTAAACCAAGGCACAAAGCTGGGGTGGCGCTTGGGGTACGTGAGGAGCTGTAAAAGGCATTGCTAGTCATGAGAGGTATGAGCTGGGAAGTAGAGGAGTTTGAATGGTTCAAGTGGGACTAGGAAGAGAAGAGCTGGTGGAGGCTGGAAGTGAAAGCTCAGAGACAGAAGAGAGGTGATAAGGTATGCACATTAACACAAGGGAATGTATACGCCTCTTTGCTGTACCCAGAAGGGAGGGAAACAAGCCTGTCTCCGCCCCAATGCAAAGGGCCAGTACAGAGTGACTCAACTCAGTCAACACTCACTTGGCTCTGGAATCGGTGCGGAGAGAATGACACTGTAGAGCTTCTTCGCTTCCTCCACACTCTCTGAGATCTTGTCAATGTTGAGCCGAGTTTCCTCAATCTATAATCAGAAAGACAGCAGAGGGAAAATAGTCCACGCCTGAAAGGAATGCTTAGCAGAGCTTCCTGCTGCAAACTGTCCACCTTCTGTGTTTGTGGAAGAGCGTGAAAACAAAAAAACCTCAGCTACCCAGGGAGTGCCATCTCCACTGTCAAGGAAATTAGTCTATAAAGAAGTGTCATTCCAATCCACACTCCTCCTTCCTGAGAGGGAAATAATCACTCACCTTGAATGGTAAGGTTCAGATCAGAGTCAAGGTCAGGGAACCCATGGAGAATAACCGGGAGAGACAAGTGCAAACAGTAAGCGGATGATCCTTGGCCCCCAAAGTGAGAAAAGGAGAGAATGAGCATGGGGTAGGGATAAGGAAAATACTCAAAGAGAACAGAGCAAATGTAGAGAATGAAAACTAGAGAAAAGACTAAGAGAGAGCAGAGAGGCGGATGAAGAAGACAGGGGATGGAGGAAAGAAAGAGACTTGGCAAGGCCATCTCAGAAGACAGCCAGGCTTCTGGACACGTTCTGGTGGACCAGCTATTACAGACTAACCCCAGCAGCTGATCACAAAGTTACAGCCTTGAACCATTTCTGCACACTTTAAAGGTCCTGACTGCATGAGTGCATGAAATAAAGGATTTCCAATAGCATTTTGTTTTGTGATTGAACACTATCAAAGGACACCAAGCAACACCTCAGCTCTGTCCACAGGCACCAGCTGCCTGGGCACCATGGTCCCTGAAGCAGATGTACAGTGGGAGCAGCAGATACAGAAGAAACCTCAGCACCCACTGTCCCTGTCTGCCTCATCCCAAAGTGAAGAGGACATCAGCACTGCAACAATTAACTGACAAGAACCTTGTCATTGACATAATACATCTTATTCATAATACATACTCTTAACATCTGGAATGCAGATTCATTCGATGCATAGGTGACTTCGAATCCAGTGCCCCTTTCTCCAATGGATAGATACCTCCTTTTAAAAACCTAACTGCAGTGCTCCAGAAAATAGCAAAGATCAAGCTTGAGCTTTCTAACCCTCACATCAGCATTTTTGCCACTCAAGGGATTTTTTTCCTCTATAAAATAAAATAAAATATTAATGTGATCATATCAGAGTATAAACATATGTATAACTACTCAAATATTTATGTAGCACTTTAATAGTTCACAAAATAACATTTAAGAGTGTATTAGCATTATTATTCAGGTACGGTCACACATGTTATCGCCTGTGAACATCAGTGGTCTCTAGACCACCCACTCCTGCCCTTCCCCTTTCTCTCTCCCCAACACTAGCTCTTGCAGCTAGTCTGATCAACTAGGGAGAATCCTGGTCCAAACTTTCGTCAATGGTAGAGAGAGACAGAATATGGGAAGTTGTTAAGTTTGTAGTGTGCCCCAAGTTCAGAGTCAGTACAGGCATGTGGGGACTGAGAATTAGACCAGGTCATCCCATCTTCTGCTTGTCTTCTGGATGTTCAAGTCCAGGAGCAAACCCCACCCCTACCTGACTAACTACAACTGTTCTCTTCCCTCTGTCCTCATCAATCTCACCATGTGGAAGCATTTCAGGGCTCTAATTAAACGGTCCTTTAATCAGTTCACCAAACAATCAAAAACCCCTTAGAACTTTAGGGTGAGCAACTGGTCAACCACAGGAGCGCGCTCTCTCTCTCTCTCTCTCTCTCTCTCTCTCTCTCTCTCTCTCTCTCTCTCTCTCCTTGAGCTTTGTGTCAGTTTTCTCTTGGAAGTGTTCCTCTTCCTGAACAATGAATTTCTGGGTATTTCTTGGCGAAAGCTACATGTGATTTCCTCTTGCGAACTCACCAGATCATCAGACAAATCACTGGGTGGAGAGAAGCTATATAGGAACCAGTAAGTCTTAATGTTAAAAGCTTCAGGAACTATTTGTGCCTGTGCTTAACATTACCCATATTATCACAGATTTGGACGATGCTAGGCCCTTTGCAGCTCTTTTGTGAGGTCACCATCACTATCTCCTTTCATACAAAAGAACCGAGGTTCACAGACAGAGGCTCCAAACCAGTCTTCAAACAGGAGGAAACTGAAGCTTGAACACAAGCATCTGTTAGATACCAGACCCTGTCTCCTAGGCTCCTTCTCTGTTAAGCTCCTGTGCATTCACCCTACATCAGGTTGATGTACGTCCAACTCATATTCTATAAGATTGGTTCAGTACGAGACCCTGTCTCTAGACAGTAAGCAGAGAGTGACAGAGGATGACACCACTCATGTCCTGCTCTGAATTATACATACATGTTCATGGGTGCACACATCTGCACACTCATGTGTATACACCACACACACACACACACACACACACACACACACACACACACACACAAAAGAAGAAAGAAAAACAGGTTGGTTTCAGAATGCATTTCACAGGGATCATATTGTACATTACTTCTCTGTCTGACCACAACTCCCTATCAGGAGCTTTTTATACAGCTTTTTATACAGAAGCATTACTGGTGGAATAAGCCAAACCAAAAGTGGGTTTTTCAAATCACCACTAAATTTGAGGCTAAAGCATCCCGAGTGCCTTTTTGCTATCTATTGGTTTACAAACTATTTACCAATGATCTGTCAGCAATATGAGACTCCAGATCATATAATAAAAAAAATAGTATCAGACAGAACAAGTTCAGGGTTCAGCTCCACCTTTTAGCACTTTTATGACCTCAAACAAGCTTACACCACATCAAGTACATAATGAATGTTAGATGATAACAATAAATACAAACTGTAATAACAACTGCTCATTTATTATATGCCAGGCACTACACTGCCCCTTTAAAAGTATGTCTCATTAATCCTACAGCAATCCTAATGTCCTCAGTAACCACTCACAAAAACCTAAGGACATCAAGTCACTTGCTCTTGATCGTAGGTACTGCCAATTAGAATGACTACATAATATTAATCACAATCATCTAACTGAAAGGCAGAAGTTGTTTTTGTCTTTTTCCATTTCCAAGCATACATGTGTGTTATGTGTACATGTGTTTATAAGTGTATGAGCACATATGGGTGCAAATGCACATGTGTGAACATGTGTGGAGGCCTGAGGTATATGCTGGGAATCATCCTCAATCCCTATTACACCTTATTCATTGAGGCAGGGTCACTCAATGAAACCCAGCATTCATGGACATGGCTGCTTAATCTAGGGATCCCCTGTCTCTGTCTTCTGAGGCTAGAATTACAGGCAGCTATCATGCCTACTTGGCGTTTACATGGGTTCTGGGGATTTGAGCTGTGGCCTTCACACTTGTGTGGCAAGCGCTTTAACCACTAACCCACAGCAGGTGGTAGTTATTTTGAAGGCATCAGTGGCCTCTTCCCCTGGACTTAATTCTCCAGTGGAATCTAATTAGACAACAGAAAACAGAGAAAGGCTTGGCAGACTGCTGCTGGATGAGCTGAAAGGCACAGCAAAACGTTTTGCTTATTCTGCTTAAGAATTAGCCTCTGCCTCACAAGTCCCTAAAGGGTTTTATCATGACTTGTATTAGTTTTTCAGCTTCTTTTTATGAGTGAAAAGTATGAACTCAGAGTTGGACTGACCAATAAAAACAAGTTTTCTAAGACAATATTCTCAAATCAACTAATTGAAACACTAATCTTCCCCAATCAGAATGTCAATCATAAAAAGAACAAACATGGTAGATCAAGAAATACACTGTTGGTGGGATGTAATTAGTACAGCCTCTATGGAAACCAGTATGGAGGTTCCTCAAAAAGCTAAAAGCAGGGCTTGTATATGATCCTGCTACACCACCCCTACAAATACACCTGAAGGAAATGATGTCAGCCTGCAGTAGAGCTACCTCACACCCATGTTTACTGTGGCAATATTCACAATTACCATGAAAGAGAATCAGCCTATCAACTGATAAATGGATTTTAAAAGTATGTGCATATCAGAATATTAATGAGCCACAAAGAATAAAATACTATCATTTGTAGGAAAATTGATGGAACTAGAGGTTATCATGCTAAGTGGAAAAAAAAAAACATGTTACAGCAGTCTCAGTCAACTAAGTATGTTTTCTCATACAGAATTTACACACACACACACACACACACACACACACACACACGATATGAAAGTAGGTGAGGCACTACTAGGAACTTAGAAGAGGGACCAAGGTAGAAAGTAAGGGCATAGTAAGAAAAGTGGCTTCAAACAGAACACAGTATACACATAAATGTCCTATCAATCTGCTACTCTGCATAATATATACATTTTAATGTAGTTCCCAGAAAGAAAGGGCAAAGTGCAAGAAAGGAAATGAGAGAGACAGGCCAAAAGTAAATTGCCAAATGACCAGCCAAGGCTTCCTGCCTCACTATTGGAAGAGCCTAAAAATCAGAATCTACCAGCTTGCCTACTTCCCTCTCATACAAATACCCTACCAAAAGAGGTAAAAAGTTCTTAACCTGCTGGTTTTGACCTAATGCCTAGATTTCCAAATTATAATCACTTTGAAAGGTCTTAGGCTCTAACAAAACTCAAGCCCAAACAGCAAATCCCTATGCTTCAAGGTTAGTCCCTCTGTAGCTCCTACTGCTCAATCCACACACACCCTTCCCTAATCTGCTCTCCAGCCAGGCTCCAGAGAACTTGGCCTATTCTATAAGCATGATTCAGATGCTTCAAATGCTGGGGCTGTGTTTCTCATCCCAAAGACTTCATGATGCCAAACGTGCAGGGTCACGCTGTAAATGTCTGTTTAATGAATATATGAATACAAGTTACTTAAAGAAATAAGCATGCTTGAGTCTGTGTGATATGTGAGCCTAAATAGTCTTATTAAATAAAAACACAGAGTCAGATATCTAGGGTGAAAGTTGAAAGATCAGAGAAGCAGAGCAGCCAGTCACCAGAGACTTCTTACTTCTACGAACCCTCAGACTGAATGGGCCCAAGATCCTGTCTCCACCTGCCTTATAGTCCTGTCTCCACCTCCCTAATGCTGGGATTAAAGGCATGAGCCTCCCAAGTGCTGGGATCAAAGATGCGAGCCACCACCTCCAGGCTCTGTTTCTCTTTCAGACTGGTTCAATCCTGTGTAGCCCAGAGTGGCCCTGAACTCCTGATCTTCCTGCTTCCTCCTTCTAAGTGCTGGGATTAAAGGTGTGTGCCACCAATGCCCTCTATGATTAACTAGTAGCTAGCTACCTCTGCACTCTGATCTGCAGACAAGCTTTATTTGTCAGAACACAAACAAAATATCATACAACAGCTGTGGGAAATGGTTCAGTTGGCAAAGTGTTTGTCTTGTAAACTTAAGAAGCTCAATTCAATTCCCAAGAACTCATATAAAAACCCAAGGTAGGCATGTCTGTAATCCTAGCACTGGAAAGGCAGAGACAGGTAGATCCCTGGCCAGCCAGTTTAGCTTAACTGGTGAGATTTATGCCAATGAAAGACAATTTCTCAAAAGAGGTGGATATTCCTGAGGTGCACAAATGTGTACATGTATACATACACACCTGAGAGAGAAATATGCTTCATACCCCCAGCAAAATAATCTCATTTTTTTAAGTACACCTATAATGAACTGAATGTTGTGCCTCCACAAATTCATACACTGCTTCTTAATGTAAAGGTATGTAAATGTGGGGCTTTTGTAAGTTACTAGGTCATGAAGATGGATCCCTCGTGAATGGGATTAGCTGTCTTTGCTCTCTTTCCACTTTGTGAAGCCACAGGAAGCTGAAGTACTCTGCAATCTAGAAGAAGGACCCCAACATAATCCAATATTGCTAGTACCCTGAACACAAATTTTTAGGCTCAAGAACCACAGCAGGTAAGTTTCTATTATCTACAGGCCATCCAAACTATGTACTTTGTGACAGCAGCCCAAACCAAGGTAGACTCCCCAAAAGAAAGCTCTAATGGTACATTTTCCAATGTGCAGCTACTCAACCTTGCTAATAAAAGTTCCTTGTCAGGTCTGTGAAGAGCTAAACACTGAGAGAGCCTAGCAAAGCCAGGTTCTTCACTATGGGACTTCTTGGAGCCTTTAGGAAGATAACGTGCATTCTAAATTTCTGAGAGAGGGTCAGCAAGATGGCTCAGCAGGTAAAGACACTTTCCATCACCCAAGTTAGATCCCTCAGACCCACATGGCCAGAGAGAACCAACTCCCTGAAGTCAAATCGTCCTCTGACCTACACATATGCTGAGGCACATGTACACACACATACACTAAATAAATGTAATTTAAATTTTTTTTAAAAAGCAGTATCTTTAAACAAATATACTTCTGACCAAAAAAAAGGAAATTCCTCAAATACTTGATCACAGAAGTTTATGACATCTCACACTCCAGCCAGAATGAGCATTCTTATTGACCAAACAGCCACACCCAACTCCTGCCCTGCCCTGTTTAGTAACAGTCCCTGGCTGTGCTGGCACAGCAATGTGGTCATCTCCAGAGGATGTATCATGCTAGATTCTATGGCAGTCCTGGTGATCTTATCTCTCTGTGAAGTGTTTACTCTCTTGTGTTCCTTCCAACAGAAGTTGACCATGACCCACTACTAACTAGGGAAACAGACTCTAGTCTTTACTCATGGACCAAATCCCACCATCCCCTGCCTTGCAAGGAATACTGCCTCTTAGGGACCCTCCTGTGGTTCAGGAGAAGAGGGAGGACACAGGTACTAGAGAAGATACCTCATCATAGAGAAGATATTCTTTAACACATGTGAGGCTCCAGGGCAAGACTGTAGTGACTACAGACAATGTCTTCTGACATCAACTCAAGTCCATCCCCACCACTGAACAAGAGCAGTCTTCCACTGTTCACAAGTAGAACAACAGAAGTGTTGTTTGACCCCACTATGAGTCCTTGACTGACAGGTCACACCCACCCACAAGCAGGGTTTGGAGCTGTGGAGGCTTATAGCCAGCTTTCCAGGCAGGTAAACACACACTCAAGTTAGCTCTTCTAACTTCTAACAACCCAGTTCTTAATCTAGCAGATGAGCAGGCATGAACTGACAAGCTCTGTTCCACTCCATTCAGGGAAACTCTGGAGGACCACTTCTCCACACCCACAATCCAGATGGTGGGAAGCCCCCTGAATTTCCCCTCAGAAAGAAAATGATGTCTTTTGCTTCTTTCCTGGAGAATGAAAAGATAAATACAGAAAACAGTAGATACAGAAACTCAGGGACAGTAAGACTGGGGAGGAGGAGGTGTTAAAGTACTATTCACTGAGTGTACACATGCCTGGCAATATTCTGGATATTTTACGAGTATAATTGGACCCAACCAATATAACCCTATGGAAAATCATTATATAACTGATCCCAATTCACAGATAAGGAAAACAAGGCTCAGCAGGTTAAGGAACATTCACAAAATCAATAACTGCTCAGAAGCAGACTGACATCTGAACCTAAGTATACTCAGCAAAGCCAGAATTTCTGTTCTTGATACTTCTACCACTCCATATTACTGTAACTCCACCCTGTAAGGCCTTCCTGCTCAAAGTGCACACGAATCTGTAGGCACATAGGACTTTACAAACACGGGACAATAGCATCTTGTTTTCTCTGTCACCAGTAAAATTAAGACAATTAGGAAAATTATAAGAAACAACAAATTTGACCAATATGAATCAAAGGCCTAAAGAAGTATTAATTTTGTTTTCACTCCCAGCTGTGACCCCAAGGTTGGCAATGTATTTAAATTATATAATTTTAAATAAGAAAAGACATCATTAAAATGTTGTCATGTACTTAAGACTTTTCAAATCCATCTTCCATTACATGTAATTATCCTCTGCTGACCTTTTAAAAATCATTTTATCTATTTATTTATTTGATGTGCATGGGCATTTTATCTGCATGTATATGTGTACAGTGTGTATGCCTGGTGCCCACAGGGGCAAAAAGGAGGCATCAGATCCCTGGTATTGGAATTACAGATGTTATGAGTCATCATGTGGGTGCTGGGAATCAAACCTGGTTCCTCTAGAACAGTGGTTCATAATCTTCCTAATGCTGTGACCTTTTAATATAGTTCCTCGTGTTATGGTAATCCCCCAACCAAAAAATTATTTTCTTTGTTACTTTATAATTTTGCTACTCTTATGAATCATAATGTAAATATCTGTGCTTTCCATTGGTCTTAGACAACCCCTGTGAAAGGGTCATTCAGCCTGGGTTTGTGATCCACTGGTTGAGAACCAATTCTCTAGCAGCACAGCATGTGCTCTTAACCACTGAGCCATCTCTTCAGCCTCTTACTGCTGACTTCCTTAATAAGATGTAAAGTCTTGATAGTCCCAAGAAGTGAAAACAGAATCTCCCTGGAACAATTCTGCCTGCCCATCTGTTCCTTTGCCAGCATTGAAAGATCTGAGGTTTCTTTATTCTTACTGAGGAAGCTGCATTTCCTCGTGTACATTCAGAAAAAAACACAGGAAGGCTGCCCACCTCAGAAAAGAACTCATCCATGAAGGCTGTATTGTCGATAGCAATCTCAACCTCGTCAGTGTCATCTTCCTGGGTCAGCTGCTTCTGCAAGAGACCAGAACATGCCAGAGTGAGAATAAAAACGTGATAAACAGCCACTGTCATTGATGGAGTCGTATTTAAACGTGCATAGATAGATAAAGATAGATAGATAGATAGATAGATAGATAGATAGATAGATAGATAGATAGATAGATAGATAGACAGATGCCTACATACATACATATATACTCTGGAGTGGTCTGTAATTAAATCCAAGCTCTATCACTTCCTGACTTTGTACAAGAGACAAGCAAGTTACTATTCAGCTTGTTGGGCCTGGGGTTCCTTAACTGTCAAAACTAATAACATTTATAGACTTAGTTAAGAAATAAATGAGATACTCTGGGCACTGGCTTAAACGCAGTGCTGGGGAGGCAGAGGCAGGCAGATCTGTGAATTTGAGGCTAGCCTGGTCTACAAAGCAAGTTCCACTACAGTCAGGGATACAAAGAGAAACCTGTCTCAAAAAAAAGAAAAAAGAAAGAAATGAGATAATGAACATAAACATAGGTGCACAGGATCGAGTACGCTGTATACTCAACATTGGGGCCTTGGTTGTGGTTCCTTTGTCTGGTTTTGCTTTGTTTTATACTGGAGGTCAAAACCAAGGCCTTCACAAGCATTAGGAAAGTGCTGTCACTGAACTCCACACCCAGTCCAATCTTGTTGCTACTGGTGGTGGCATTTCTGTAATTCGTTTTAGTTGAGGAACCTAAAACTAAGTAAGGTTTAGTAACAGGCAGATTCTAACCTACTCATGCTGTCCACACAAGTTCCAATACACTGCTTCAAAGCATGAGCTGCTGATCCTCACAGCTGGAGCAAAGATCTTCCTGTGTTTAGAAACCACCTATTGCAAAGAAAACCATGCTGTTCCCTATCCAAGAGCTCATGTTTATAAGGAAAAGGAAGTTCTTCCCCAGCCCCTGAGCAACCTCGGGGAGTGCAAACCTTCTCACACTCATTCACCTTCCTCCTCAGAATTACAAAATGGCTGTCTAGAGGAAGTGACTCCATTCCCATCCAGCAACAAAAGCCTGAGCTGTTTCTACACTCTTCCGGATTGCTCTCTCCCAGACAAGCACTATCCAGGGCACTGCTGACTTCTAAGCACACTCTCACACTGGCTGTTGAGAGTGGAGGGGGGCAGGGAACCGCTACACTTGCTTCATCACACCCTTCAACGGCTTACCCTCAACGGCTCAAAACTCCACAAGCAATGAAAACAGCCAGGCCCCACTTCACCTGTTACCACCCCCACAAATCCACAACATTCCCATAGAAATCTTCGACCACCTGGGAAATCTCCTTTTCTGTATGGTCTGGGACAGTCAGCATCCCAAACTTCATAGCTATCTATATTCAAGAGAGATGCTGAATCTGAGGGTCCTCCTACTCATTCCACAACTATCTCCTAAAAAACTCAACTAATTATATCTTCCTGACACTTAAGGTCATATAATGATAGCTCATCTCCTGGGACCAAAATCCCTTGGCCCAAAAGAACCCACAAGGGCCTTTAAAATCCAGCCACACCCACACTTGTCCCTCAATGCATTCTTGAGATCAGCCACTTGAGATTCCTTACATTTCTGGCCACATCATTCCTTTATATGTAACATCTTTCTTTCCATGCTGCCACATAAGGATTCTAACCAAAAACCGCATCTATCCAACTACCAAAATCTTATTCATCCTTAGACTTCCCTTCAGACAGCCTGATGCCTGTCTCTCCCATGCAAAATTCAAAACCTCCCTTACGCTCTCACCACTCTGTAAAGACCTTCCACAGCAACCACCATGGCCTACTGTTATCAATCTGTACCCAGTGACCATAAACTCCTGGATCTGGGTTACCATGTGTATCTGTTAGAACACATTCATTGGTATGTCTGTCTGCCAGCCCAGGGTACATTCCATGGAATGCTCTTTTACCCTTCCCACCTGATTTTGGGAAGGCCACGGGATCACTCAAGCTCCCTAAGGAATCTGTGTTGTGAGAAGAGCCTGAAAGGAATGAAACCTAGTGAACCAGTGGCAGCACCCTCCTCTCCTGAGTCGCACCTCCATTGGCTGCAGGCAGATTCTACAGATCTCCCCTTGTATTCTTTCAGTTAGCTCAACAGTTCTTTTGCTCATTTAGCAAAAATCAACCTTATCACCTGCAGTTAAAGTACAATGCCATAATTGTTGTAGTGGTTTGAATAAGAATAGCCCCCAGAGGCTCATATATTTGAATGCTTAGACACCAGGGAGTGGCACTGTTTGAAAGGATTAGAAGGATTGGGTGTGGCCTAGTTGGAGAAAATGTGTCACTGGAGGTAGGCTTTGGGGTTTCAAAGGCCTATGCCAGGCTCAGGCTCAGTCTCCTCTCTCTCTCTCTCTCTCTCTCTCTCTCTCTCTCTCTCTCTCTCTCTCTCTCTTTCTCTCTCTCTTTCTCTCTCTCTTTCTCTCTCTCTTTCTCTCTCTGTCTGTCTGTCTCTGTGTGTGTCTGTCTGTCTGTCTCTCTGTGTGTCTTCCCCTCTCTCTGTCTCTCTGTCTCTCTCTGTCTCTCTGTCTCTCTCTGTCTCTCTGTCTCTCTCTGTCTCTCTCTGTCTCTCTCTCTCTCTCTCTCTCTCTCTCTCTCTCTCTCTCTCTCTCTCTCTCTCTCTGCCTACAGATCAGGACGTAGAACTCTCAGTTACTTCTCCAGCACCATGTCTGCCTGCATGCCACCACACTCCCTGCCATGATGATAATGGACTGACCTCTGAAACTGTAAGCAAGGTCCAATTAAATGCTTTATTTTATGAGTTGACTTGGTCATGATGTCTCTTCACAGCAATAGAACAGTGACTAGGACATTTGTCAATAATTTATTTCATGTTTCCCAAGTATTTAACAGAAATTGAATTACTTCTAGCTGAATGCATTCACACTAGCCTGCAACCTCAATTCACACATCAGTTTCCAATGTTTGAGACCAAATGTTCTATTACTCAACATCCCTCAACATCCAAGCCTCTCAGAGGCGTCCACAGGATCTTCTCTCCAAGGAAAACAGCTGCACTATTTCCTAGAAAATAAAAAGCCATTCTTCCTCTAGGAAGTTAGTAAGCTTTTATCAAGAGCATCCTTTTTTAAAGGATTTGTTTATTAATCTATTCATGTGTATGGGTGCTTTGTCTGCATGCATGCCTGTGTAACACTTGTATACAGTGCCCGTGGACAATAGTAGACGATGTTGTATCTACTGGTATTGGAATTACAGACAGCTGTGAGCCACTATAAGGGTGCTCAGAACGGAACAAGGATCCTCTGTAAGAACAACACATGATCTTAACTAACTGATCTCCAGCCCTGAGAATGTTCTTTCCTAAGAGGTGGTCTATCAGCTCCACTTGGGAAAAGACCTCAAGTATGTATCTGATACACATATACACACAGATACAGTCACATGATGTCAATTCAGTGTCCAAACTGGCACACATGCTAATGACGTAAGAAGAAGCTACCTCACGAATGGATCAAGGGAAGTTTCCAGAAGCTGGGAACAATTGTGGACTGGAATATGAGAAACGGACACTTAGTGGTTATCATAATATGAGTTTCTAAGACTAGATAGTATACAAGGGTGGCCAAATGCCCAGAATGGCTCTTGGCTTTGAGCAGGCTTGAGACAAGTGGCCTGGTCCACCTTTAGTGAGAGAGTGGACTAGGAAAAGAAAAAATAGCCCTTGGTAACCTACAAACTCAGTCCAACACCTGTTACCATTCTAGCTGTGAGACCACACTCAAGCACCACACCTCCCTAATTTTTTTTAAACCATTGTTGGTACTAACACCACACACTTTATTACTTGTATGAGAATCGAAAAAAATCACATATGGAGATCTTTTAGCACAATACCAAGCTCCCCCATCACAAGCACTTGCCAGGTGTCAATTTCCCCATCACCTGGCATTAGATGAAGGCACAGAAAAACAGAACCTGTGAGGAGAAGGAGACCATCCCTCCCCATTCCTAAAGGCTGCATCTGTAAGACAGATCTGCTGGGACAACATACACCAGGGTTATAATGTGGCCCTATCACATGATAGTCACTGAACCCAAATACATGGCTTAACATCTCTGAGAAGCCTCCACTTCTTCATCTATAAAGCAGAAAATATGTCACAGGGCCTTGCTTGAGTAGCAGGCTCTGTACCATTGCAAGTCTCCCCAACCACTTGATCTCTTTTCCAATCCAATTACCTCCCCAACTCCCAATATATGAAGTATCACCTCCAGGACAAAATCAAAGGCCTGCTCTTTAAAATCCTTTAAAAGATGACTATTCCTGTCTTAGAGTCAGTCTCCCTGATCAGCACCAAGCACTTTCTGTCCCCACCAACCTGATCCAACATGTCATGCTTACTTCTATTCCTGGGCTTTCTACTGGTACCATGGTCCTTCATGTAGCCATGTAGCTCGTGTGTGTGTGTGTGTGTGTGCGTGCGTGTGTGTGTGTGTGTGTGTGTGTGTGTGTGTGTGTGTGTGTGTGTGTGTATGTGTGTGTGGTGGTGGTGGTGGTGGTTTGAATAGGTATAGTCCCCATAGACTCATGTGTTTGAATGCTTGGCCCATAGGGAACGGCACTATTAGGAGGTATGGCCTTGTTGGAGTAGGTGTGGCCTTGTTGGAGTGTGTCACTGTGCAGGCAGGCTTTGAGGTCTCATATATACTGCTCAGTGTGGCAGTGGCTTCTGCTGCCTGCAGATCAAGATGTAGGACTCTCAGCACCATGTCTGCCTGCATGCGGCCACATCCCGCCATGATGACAATGGACTAAATCTCTGAAACTGTAAGCCACCCCAATTAAATGTTTTCCTTTAAAGAGTTGCTGTGGTCATGGTGTCTCTTCACAGCAATAGAAACCCTAACTAAGACATATATATACATATATATACATGTATATATATGAGCTCAATGAAGCACTGTAAATGAGCACTACTTCTCACCAGCCTTATTGTGAGTCTAAGGG